TACGCCTGTCCCCAAAACTTGCTTGATGGAAACCCACCCTGCAGGTTTGTGGGTGGGTGTAGGTAGGATAACTGCAGCTAGTGGGTGGCCCTCGTAGAGATATTCACATGTTCCAGTGCAGAATCATTTCAGAAGCGTATCATTTCACCTCTGGCCCAGGCAACTCAAACTAAGGCAGACTTAAGGGGAAGACCATAGTGTGCACTGGCTCCCGGTGGAGTACAGGATCAGGTTTAAGGTGCTGGTTTTAACCTTTAAAGCCCTATACTGCCTAGGACCCTCGTACTTATGGGACCGCCTCTCCTGGTATGTCCCACAGAGGACCTTATGGTCTTCAAACAAAAACACCTTGGAGGTCCCAGGCCACAGAGAGGTTAGGCTGGCCTCAACCAGAGCCAGGGCTTTTTGGGCTGTGGCTCCAATCTGGTGGAACGCTCTGTCACAAGAGACTAGGGACCTGCAGGACTTGACATCTTTCTGCAGGGCCTGCAAGACAGAGCTGTTCCAGCAGGCCTTTGGCCAAGGCACAGTCTGTCCCCCTCCTTTGGTAATCCTCACAGAACTCTAGCCCAGTGGTTGCCATTTATTTGATTTTGAATTGATTTTAAAATGAATTTTTTAGAATGCTGTTTTACTTTTATTGTTGTTAGCTACTCTAAGCCTGGCTTCGGCTGGGGAGGGCGGGATATAAATAAATTATTATTATTATTATTATTATTATTATTATTATTATTAGCGTGTGCCATACAGAGGTGGATTTTGGTTAATGTGGAAATTAACAGGATGGTAAATTGCAGTGTAGTTATGTTGCTTTTAGACACAAGCAGAGCCTGCTGGATCATACCCAAAGGCCCATCTAGTCTGGCACCCTTTTTCCAACACTGGCCAAGCAGGTGCCTCTTGGGAAGACCAAGAGACATGATGGCAATAGCAGTTTCCCACTTTTGTTCCCCAGCAGGTGGTACTCAGAGGCATGCAAGCACAACTGAAGCCATAGGTATTTGTAAGCATTAGGGGGTCTTTTCAATAGGAGTGTGGCTACTCTGTGCTGGTCCAGACAAACTAGGCTGCACCTTGGTATATAATGTGGAAGCCCTTCTGATGGCCAATTCTGCGACAGTACAGTGGTACCTCAGGTTACATACGCTTCAGGTTACAGACTCCACTAACCTAGAAACATTACCTCGGGTTAAGAAGAACGTTGCTTCAGGATGAGAACAGAAATCGTGCAGTGGCGGTGCAGCAGCAGCAGGAGGCCCCATTAGCTAAAGTGGTGCTTCAGGTTAAGAACAGTTTCAGGTTAAGAACAGACCTCCAGAACGAATTAAGTACTTAACCCGAGGTACCACTGTAGTTGAAACTGCATCCCCACATCCTTCTCCCAGATTATCTTGACCCAGCTCTCATGGATCCTTGTTTCACCTTCCACTTACAGTGCCCGGACGTTGCCTCCATTCATTTTGTTTCCAGTGAATGAGCATACTAAAAAGGAGAGCCACATTCCACAGCATAATCTTAGGCAAACAGGGCATGGCTTCTCCATTAATCAAGGTTTCTCTCATCTCGTTTTATTTTCCCCGGCATTTTAATCAGCAGCCTTGGCTCTTTCCCAACTTCTCTGATGTCTGCACAGTTGAACTAACACCTGTCCAGGTAAATAAATGGTGACTCTGGTCTGGTGTGTACTTTGGATTTGATTACTTGGTCCATCTACGGAAATGGAACAGTGGCAGAACATTATAAAACCACACACACACACACACACACACACACACACAGCCAAAGAAATTGGCTTTACTGTTTGTCATACGAAAACCTTCTACCCCAGTGGTATATTTTCTAGTATCATGGGAATCATATGTGATCCTTAAGGCCGCAGTGGGGGGCGGGATGGGTACTTGCTGCCTTCTGCCTGCATAACAACCCTACAGCCAATTCATTCTTCCTTGCAGATGACCATAGCAGCAATGCTGTGTCTGATATAACCAAGTCTTGTATATTGAGCTGTTTTCAACACCAAGCCACTGCTCACATAACTGAGGAGAGGGACAGAGTGGTCTCCTTATGTTTCTGAAAGCCTACTTCACTACTGGTCTAGAGGGAGATGATTTGGTTCAAAATGAGGAGAGTTTGAGGTGGGGCTTTTGGATTTCACTGAGGGCTCACCACCTCCCAGCACAAGTTCATGCATTGGGCCAAAGTAGATTTTGCTCATGTGAATATAACGTTATCCTGAAGTTATTTTTTAAAGTCAAAAGCCCATTCTGGAGGCTGCAATTGGGTGTGGTCTTTGCTCAACTGCTTCAGGTAGAATGGTTTTTTCTGTTGCGTCTTCTGCTGCAGGGGATGGGGAACCTGTGGCACTCCAAAGATTGCTGGACTACAACGCCCCTCATCCATGACCATTGGCCATGTTGGTTGGGGCTGATGGGAGTTGGAGTCCAGCAGCATCTGGCAGGCCGCAGCTTCCCCACCCTTGGTCTCCTCGGAGTACTTATAGTTGTAGCACAAGAATTCAGTGATCATTGTTATACTGGAACAGATAAGCATATATCTAACGCAGGATTCTGTTCAGGCTCATGACATACAATGCCTCTATTGAGGGACATGTTCTTCCCATGGAATGACTGAGTGGGAATCATTCACTCCCACAACTGTTTTAAGCAATACAGCTTCAAATAGTCATGTTGTCTTATCTACAGGGTGGTCCAAAATCCATGTCCTGTGAGTGAATTACCATAAAACATTTGAATCATTGGCCATCAAGGCATTGTCTCATTTGTTCTGTGTTGTAGCAATGTGTAACCAACATAACTGATCAGAGTCTGACCTCCTCTCTTTTGAATGTCATAACCATCCTGTTGGTTTTGCTCAATGAGAAATCAAAGTGTCACTGTTTGGAACAGCACTTTTCAATCTTTAAGGGAATCATTTTAAGGTGTAATGTTTTATTATATATGTTGGAAGCCACCCAGAGTGGCTGGGGCAACCCAGTCAGATGGGCAGGGTACAAATAATAGCATCATCACCATCACCATCACCATCACCATCACCATCATCTCTTCTTCTTCTTCTTCCTCCTCCTCCTCCTCATGTCATTCTTGCAACCTGCCATTTAAGCCATCACAGCATGATGTTTGTTCCAGTTACTGGAGAGGAAACACAGAGGAAACCCATATCCCAAACTGTATTGCAAAAGAGAACTTTGAAGAGGCTCTCTCCATGTTCTCTGAGGGGACCAGTATGCCTTGGTCAATACTTTCCAAGGTCAGAGTGCTTACTAATTAACTTGTGAAACTTGGTTACCAGAGAGTAGTTTTCAGTGTTCTGGAAGGAATGGTGTGAAGAGCTGTTTGGGGACAAGGAGGGAGTTCCTTTTCTCCTTTGTTACGTCCAAAGTATATAATTATATTGGAAGTGGATGAAATTAATGAATTCCATTCAGCTCCATCATCTCTTTCTGTGTCCTTCCGTCTCCCACCTCCTGGCTTAGGCATCTGAGACATACAGAGTGAACTTTTGAAACACATTAGAGGGAGGAAAGGGTGGAATCTATTTAGATGCTTGGTGAAAAATGTCACTGAACAGGTAGAACCTACGAGGGTGGTCATGGTGGTGGATGTCAACTCTTCCTGGCTTTGAAACTCCCTCCATCACAGCTGCCTGGTCTGTAAAGCTTTTGGGCTTAACCCTTTGTTCTCATCACTAGCTAAAATCAAGTGTGCATATAAAAAGTTCATTTGTTGTTCCGCCTGGCCTTTGGCTTGGAATCAACTTGATCCCCTCTCCCTCTTTCCTTTTTCCTTTCTCCTTCTGTGATGGAACTCCTATTTGGGGGCTTCCCTGGCTTTTTTCTGGCCCACGTAAGATCAGTCTGGATAGTTGGCCTTGGTGAAGATTTGATGTTTTCATCCCCCCAAAAAGTTTTTGATTTGAGTTTCTACTGAAATGAGGCTGCATTTTGATGTTGTATTTTAATCTTGTTTTTAAGTTGTATTTTAATCAATTGTTTTTATACCTGGTGTTGGTCACCCTGAGCCCGGTCTTGGGGTATAAATAAAATTTATTATTATTATTATTATTATTATTAGCTCACATTCATAAATTACTCTCCTTCTATCTACCTGCCTTGGTTTGTTTCCTTCCTTTCCATTCATTCATTGTCTCTCTCTCCACACACAAACACACAAAGCCCCTCCCCCCGGTTTGTGTGTTGTTTCTTGGGCAGGGAGAGGAGGACATTCAATAGATCATAGGGTTGCAACAGACCCCAAGAATCATGTACTCCAACCTTGTGCAATGCACGAACCACAGCTAAATAATCTGACAGAGATGACCATCCAACCTCTGCTTATAAATCTCCAAGGAAGGAGAGTCCACCACCTTCTCATGTGGTCCGTCCCACCGTTGAACAGCTCTTACGAACAGAAAGTTATATTCTTTTTATTAATATTATTTATTAAATTTGTATACCGCCCTATACCCGCAGGTCTCCGGGCGGTTACAACATAAAATCACAATATAAAAACACGGAATACATGATAGAAACAAAAACAAAAACAACCCAATAACCTCCCCCCCCCCCCGGTCAGGGTTTATGGTTCCCTTTAAACTGGGAGAAGGATACTGAATTTACAGTCTTTCCAGCAAGCCTAACCAATAGAGGCTTCAGTAATAGTCAGCATCTTTCCATTTCCTAGCTAATGCTCCCCCAGGGAAAATAAATAATCCTTCTGGCACATTCTTTGTAGTTGAGTAAAGTAGACATAAGAGGTTTGTGTTCCATCCTTGGGGGTGGGAGAGGGGGGGGGACAAACACCGAAATACTATAGTCTTCCAAGAAACTTGAATTGACAAATTATTCCTTTCTGCTTTGGCTATTATTTATTGGGGGATTGAATTTGCAGCGAGTGGGGACATTTCATGTGACAAACATCCGCTATTGAGATGAAAATGTGTAGTTTGGCCTTAAGGACCTTCTGTGAAAGATCTGCCGTTGGACCTGGGATAGCTCAGTCAGTAGAGCATGATAACATTTAATCTCAGGGTTGTGGGTTCGAGCCCCATGTTGGATAAAAGATTCCTGCATTGCAAGGGGGTTGGACTGGATGCCCTTCATGGTCTCTTCCTACTCTATAATTCTATGCTTCTATGGGCTTTCCATGATCTGTAAAAGCTTGCTTTGTATCTTTGCTCTGGGGCTGGCAGTTGTCAGCTGCGGCTGAAATGAAGAGAAAAAGGGGCGTTCCAGTTAGCTCCTCCCCTGCAGCCAGCCGATTGGCTGGCCCAGGGTGTGACGCGGCCTGAGGATTCCCCTGATCACGCGGGGCTGCAGCCAGCCCCGCGCTGATGTTAGTGGGTGTGAGCCCGCAACCCCCTCTCCTGGGAGTGGCTTTGTCGCCAGCTGGCACACTAAAACAATAAGTGACATCACACAAATAAGCCATTTGTTCAGTGGTCCTATGTGGTGTGCATTAGCCTGTAATGAACCTTGCTCCATGTCAAAGCACAAGCCTTTTGCATTTATCTCTTTGGGATATAGGAGTAGTGGTATCGCCTTCCCAAATCATGTCCCGTGCAATGTTAAAAGCACAGGATTTGCTCACCCTTGCAAGTGGCCATCATTTTGTTCAGAGGAAATCCCATCATATTAAGTCAGTAATGACGGCGAACTGTGCTTCCGCCTTTCCCCTCAGCACTGACAAACATTAGAGGATAAGAGGAGCCTGAAGAACCAGGCCTATGGCCTTTAAAACCCAGCATCCTGTTCTCACAACCAGATGCATGTATGTGTCACCTCACCTGGAACTGATACTCAGCAAGCACCTCTTATAATGCACCAGTTCTTATCTTGTAGCATGTTTTGGTCTGGATGGTGGAAGTTGCTCTGTGGGGTGGATTGTCCAGACAGACAGCAGAGGGCTAAATTAGATTGGCTTTCCACATTATTGGCAGTATTTCACTTTCTTTGTCTGCTGATCTTGCTGTGTTCCACGCACATCAAAGCAGGTAACATAGGTGCTGCAGGTGAGACACTTTGAAGTTCAGCATGCATGGCATCTACTGTAACCTGAGTGGTAGGTGCTATTTTATGAGTCCATTTTTTCTTGTTTTCATTAGGGTTTATACTTTTCTAGTTATCAATGTACATCTGTGAAGGAGAGGTACAGTGGTACCTCGGGTTAAGAACTTAATTCATTCTGGAGGTCCGTTCTTAAGCTGAAACTGTTCTTAACCTGAGGTACCACTTTAAGCTAATGGGGCCTCCCGCTGCTGGTACTTGATTTCTGTTCTCATCCTGAGGTAAAGTTCTTAACCCCAGGTACTATTTCTGGGTTAGCGGAGTCTGTAACCTGAAGCGTCTGTAACCCGAGGTACCACTGTATAGCACAACAACGTTATTTTATAACATTGATTTTTTTTTAAAGAAATGATTATATATCCATGCACAAATACCCTTTCCAGTGACTATTTTAATGGCAGTGACTGGAAAAGGTTTGTGTTTTTAAGAATTTCTTAAAGAGATTAACAATATGGCATTATTGTGCTATGGTGCTATTAGGGATGTGGGTGGCACTGTGGTCTAAACCACTGAGCCTCTTGGACTTGCTGATCAGAAGGTTGGTGGTTCGAATCCTCAAGACGGAGTGAGCTCCTATTGCTGTGTCCCAGCTTCTGCCAACCTAGCCTTTCGAAAGCATGCCAATGCAAGTAGATAAATAGGTATTGCTGTGGCAGGAAGGTAAATGGCATTTCCGTGCTCTCTGGTTTCCGTCGCAGTGTTCCATTGCGCCAGAAGTGGTTTAGTTATGCTGGGCACATGACCCGGAAAGCTGTCTTTGGACAAATGCCAGCTCCCTCGGCCTGAAAGCGAGATGAGTGCTGCAACTCCATAGTCGCCTTTGACTGACTTAACCATCCAGGGGTCCTTTAGCTTTTACCTTTTATACTGCTATTCCTCTCCTTTATTGAAAAAGAAATTGTGTCTGGAAACACATTTTAGTGTTCATTATAAGACTTTTTTTTAAAAAAGAAGCATGCCATGATATGTCACCCACCGAGAAAGGTCATAATGATTATGTTCTGAAGTGTGATAGGTTCCTTTTCCTGATAAGTCACTGCTCCTGTCAAAACCTTGCCCTTTTCAAAAGATGGGAGAGTGTATCTAAAGGTTTCTGCACCTGTGGAGGCTGCACTACTTGTCTATTCTTTTGGGAGAGCGGGGGAAGTCCAATTTTCAGCAGTGTGAGATGATGAGTGCATCATATGGATGTCCTGTAAACAGTGATCGAAGCACAGCAATTCCACCTAGTGTGTAACCACCGTGAATCTCTTTGTGGCCCCATCATATTACAACTTGGAAATGTTTATAATGTCTCTGTCCCTTGCAGCCCCGGCAATTCTCCACCGTGACGTAGAATAGACTTCTGGTCTGAAACAGTAAAGCTGCGGTTTCTTGAAAGCTTCTTAAAAAACGTTTGCAAAAGTGGTTGAATAATTATTCTGTTTTTCAGGATCCTTCTCGTTATTAGTTCAGGATACGTTGGCAACACTTGATGCTTGCCATTTCATCACAGTAGGAAGAAGTGTTGCCACCTCTTTTTTTCTGGCAGGATTCCTCGGCCTTTGATAGATATATGTCTGTTGTCTGGCAGATAAAAACAGCAGCAGAGAAACTGTCTCTCACTGAGTTTCTGCTTGCCATTCTGCCTGCTAAAAGCACAGAAACACTGCCAGGGTGGGGAGTGGAGTAGAGCTGCTCAAGTTGGAGAAGTGTTTCTGGGACACTTAGCATATTCTGCATAAGTTCTCTTCCACTGCAGACAATCAACATATGATCCAGTGAAGGATCCAGTGTGGTGCCTGGTTCTATGGACCCAACCTGCTCTATTAAACTGGTTGAAATACTGATACATGCAAGTCTGGATTCATTTCCAGGAACTGCCTGGAAGCACTGGTGAGTCTTGTTTGGCTTTAGGCCTGGCACATTGCTGCATTAAGGATTTCACAATTTCCTCTGTGGCCTCCTGGATTTCATGTGAATTACCTTCTCAGCCTACCTCCTAAGTGTCAGGTCCTTCATCTGATCAATTGACTAGCCTTGGATATTTGTTTAAGGTTATCTCTCCTCCCCCCTACCCCCTTCCTCTGCTGGTGCCCTTTGGCTGTTTTCAGTTTAAACCCACCCCACCCTTCTTCCAGTTCCTTCCTTTGATGGAGAGAGTAAGTCCAGGTCTGTCTAATGGGAACTGTGGTTCACTCTGTGATGTGGTTCGTTATCGCAAAGCTGTTAATAAAATCTGTGTGTTTCCCCAAGCTGTCACTCGGTCGAGATGGGAAATATTCCCTGAGCTCAGGCAATGTTTTATCATAACAGCAGCATGCACAGGCTTGATGAGCGCCAAAAGTCTTTTGTTTGGCTGGGTTTCTCCTCTCTCCAATGGATCAAGTGCAGTTTGGGCTGCTGTAAAACTGTGTAAGGAGCTGCAGTGGAAGCTGTCCTTCAGCATGGCCTAGTGGTGATGTTGAACCACCTTCCCAGTGTCTGCCGGCTCCCCACCCTCCCAGCTCATGGTAGGAATGTGATGGGTTATTTTGTCAGCAGTCGCAGGGGGAGGTTAGGGTTAAGAGGTGAGCGCTCCAGGTGCGGCTGAGCATGAGGGTTTTATACATTTCGTTGGTGAGAAGGGAATGCATCCTTCGTTTCTAATGACAGGGCACTGCAGGTAGGGACATGATGCTCCTTGTCTCGCAGATGTGTGGTTAAGCAAAAGACAATTGCAGATGTTCCTGGAATTCCCAAACCGGATACAAAATTGCTAAGAGGATACATAGATGGGGGAGCGTTGCCAAGAGCTTTTACATAATGAGAGGATCATGTTATGCTTCTCTCGCTTCAGGGCTCGGTTGAGCTCCTCAGCTCTTCTCTGAAGTTGGAGGTAGAACGCACAGAGTTCTCTCTTGTTAAGAGAGGTGTGTGTTTTTGCATACATGCATGCACACTTGTACATGTGTGTGTATGTTTAAGCCCGGAACACCCCACAGCCTTGACACTGTATATATCGGATGAAAGATTAAAGTTGTCTTTTTAAAGGTGTGCTAAAGTTTCCATTGCAAACAAACATCTCTGTGTGGAAATCTGTCTTCAGTTTAGAAGGAACATAGGAAGCTGCCATACTGAGTCGGACCTTTGATTCATCTAGATCAGTACTTTCTTCACTGGCTGGCAACAGCTCTCCGGGGGTTCAGGGAAGGATCTCCCAGTCCTATCTGGAGATTCTCCACCTCTGGGCTTCAACCCCAGTCCACTTCCCTAGGTTTTCTCCAGTCCACCCTTCCCTTCCCTTCCCTTCCCTTCCCTTCCCTTCCTTTGGTGTTAAAAAGTGGATTAAAGGGGGGAACAACCCCCCCTTAGGTCAATATTTGCAAAGCAGATGGAGAGATAGCTTCACACTTTCTCCAGGAGGGGAATGGGAAGCATTGCCACTTAGAAAACTGGTCAGGTGTGTAGGAATTCCTTTCAAACTATACTAGTGAAAATGGATCAGCCTGGGTTCCCTGTTTCCCTCACTTGTCAGGTGGAACTAAGCACCTGTGTCGCCTGGAAGGGGGGGAGGAAGTGCTCCTGTTCCTATAAGACTGCTGCCAAACTCGTGAGGGCTCAGTTCTACAGAGCATTGGGTTGTTGTTGTTTTTGCCAGGACAGAGATTAGAATTTGTTGAGGCATCAATCTGATTTCAATAACTGTCCTGTGAAGCAGAACCATTGAGTGCCTTGTGACCCTCGACAGTCTCACTCCTGTCCCTTTTAAATTTATCCCTCTGATTTGAAATGCCTTAACTTGTAATGCCAGTAAAGGTATTTGTATTGTGTTGCCCTCCTCAAAGGTGGGATCAGAAATCGGAACCATGATTTGATACGTTTCCTAAAATGCTTATAGAGTACCACTGGCTGTGGCTTTGGGGGTGGTGCGGGGAGAAGCAAGGAAGATTATAGCCTAGGGAATAGTGAATTGTTTACTGAACCATTGTGTGTGTGTGTGGGGGGGAAGACATCTGGTCATTGATGGGGAAAGGATGATGGGCTCAGCTGTTCTTTTGCCATCACTGAGAGCCAAACTGTATTGGTGCCAATGGGGGACAGCAGCTTCAGTGGAATTTTTCCTTGGGACCGCAGTGGGAAAGGGTTAAACTCCTCATCCTTACTTGCTTTGATCCTGTAAAATAATAGTGCTGCCCCCCCGCAGATGCTATTTGCCCTTGAACATCGATCTGAACTCTGCTGTTGATAGTATAAAGTTAAATGCTCTTTTCAACTTGCTTATTTCTGTTGTGCAGATGAGCAGTCAAACAAGTGGAATTCGGGTGTCCATTATGGCATTCCCAACTTCCATCAGTCCCATCCAGCACGGGCAGAGTTCAGGGATGAAGGGTGCTGGAATCCAGCAGTATCTGGAGGCACCACATTGACCACCCATGATCTGAAGAACCATCTTCTTCACTTCCCAAACCATCAGTGCTTGGCCACCCCACCTTCTGATACTGCTCTTCCACTTCCAGATTTCTGAAGGTGCACAGTGTCGTTTTTCAGAGGGCAGATGGACACCACTAACTCCCCTGTTGTGAGCTTGGCTTGAGCATGTACTCAAGAGATGTTTATTTGTTGCCTCGGGAGCATGCACAAACTCCTTGCCAAGAGTCCAACATCTGCACAATTGATACTTGGCAGGAAATCCCTGTTTGGTCCCTGAAGGTAATGAATGAAAGAGGTTGGGTGTGCATCCCACTATTTCACTCTTTGGCTCTGCTGTGCCAATGGCCCTGACCTGACAGGGACCATCCCATGTCCACCATCACTATAATGAGGCAAGTCTGTGTATGTGAGTGTATGAGACAGCGTTATAAATTGTCAATGGATCTATACCAGGAAATAGCCTAGGTATTCAGCTGCCTGGGCAACTAGGAGTTTTTGAAATCTCCCTCAAAGCATACAGACCTAGAATACAACATTTGGGAGTTAAAAACCCCTGGGAATGGAGATCCCTCCCCTTGCTGCAACTCTGAGAATTTCCTCTGTGGCTTTGACTCTGACAGTTTTCATAAAGTAGTACATACTTCAAAGCACTAAGCAACCATAATAAAGGTTTTATTTGCAAAAGAGCTCTGCTCCCATTTATCCTGCATGCTGAGCTTTTGTGACTGACCAAATCTTCCCCCTCACGGAATGTGAACGGCTAAAACGCGCGCGCACACACACACACACACACACCACTTGTGCAAAGCAAAAGCCGCGTTGTTTTGCTTAAGAGAGAGGTGAAGAGGAAAAATAAACTTGGCCCTGATTCTGGGGCCTGAATATATTTTTTTTTGCCAATCAGCTCCATTATCCTCAACACTCAAGATTGAAAATAAATTCCCCTCCATTGTGTGAGGCTCCCCCTACCCCCAGCTTTCCAAAGCAACTGTATTTTGCTTTCTTTGATGACACTGGGGCTCCAGGAGAATCGCTGCCCTCCCCACCCGCTTTTATGACACACTGTAAGGGATTTAGGCTTGAGTGCAGGTGGGTTTTCTCCCCCCTTGCTGTCACCTGGACATTGCCATGGAGATAATCCTCAGTGAAACAAAAATAAGAGTAGAACCGGTTGGACAGAAAGTGCAAGGCTGAGAGCTCGTAGCTGGAGGAGGGGAGGGATAAGTGGCGTAAGGCCAAGGCGAGGGCAGCGGAGGCTCGGTGGGGAGCCTGCCTTGGCTCTAGAATTCGCTTGAATCCAGCGATTTGGGGGGGAGCATTGCAGCACTTAATCAACAATAGGCAAGTCCTCTCCCGTTGAGTTTAGATGGGATTATTTGTGTCCTCGGACAGGATTCTGCCGATTTCCAGTCAGCACAGTAAAGCAGGTCAGCGAGGCCAGCGTCTCACCAAATGTAACGAACACGAGAGTCCCCTTGAGCAAACATTTGTGCATGTTGCTTGCCTAGGCATCTTCCTGGCTGACCAGTTTTTAGTGCTAGATGGAATTCTGCAGCGTAAGCAAAGACCACATGGGAGGATTTCGAGCCATGGCGGTGCATTCGCTACCTGGCTGCTTGGTAACTGTGTATTCCTGACATAAGCCTTTTGTGTTGGAAGGATTGTTTGGCTTTGCTTTTTAGCTAATCTTCCCATTATCCTGTTGAAAGATGCCGTGTGTGTAGCAGTCTGTATATTCTGTAGTACCGCTTAGCACCATAATATGTTGTTGGCCTAGTCTTGCATTTCTTGATGCAACAGAGGAAAGCCCCAGTGTCATTGCCTATGTTTTCATTGCAAGTTCATGCTGTAACCTATATACAGCCACTTTGTATTTGACTTGTTGTCAGATTAGAACTGCACTTTTATTTTCTTTTTTCTTTCTCTTTTTAATTTCACTTCTGCATGACACAGACCTGAAGCTCCGTAGACACCTACAGAACTAAGGTCTATCAAATCAACTGATGCCAAGATCTGAGCAAGGCATTGTAACAGAGTCTTGTGAAAACATCAGTTAATAATAATATAATAATAATTTATTATTTATACCCCGCCCATCTGGCTGGGTTTCTCCAGCCACTCTGGGCAGCTTCCAACAGAATATTAAAATATTAATATACATAATATATGTTAAAATACAATAACCTGTTAAACATTAAAAGCTTCCCTAAACAGGGCTGCCTTCAGATGTCTTCTAAAAGTCTGGTAATTGTTTTTCTCTTTGACATCTGGTGGGAGGGCATTCCACAGGGTGGTTTACTTGCATTCAGATGACTGGAATTTGACCGGGAATCCAGAATTAGATAGGGAAGTGGGGAAGGAACTGGCCATGTTGTGCTTGCATGCATCATCTCTGAAAATTTGTTTCATTCACTCAGTGGTTTCTACATCTGTGTGGCTTGTACTACCATGTTTTCATGGGTCCTGTGACCTTTCTGGAATTGGGTTCATCCCTGAAGACCTTTCAATATCTGGTGGGGTTTCAAACAATGGCTGGTGGCTCCTCCTCTGCCTCCTTCTGGTGCAGCCAACGGAGCAGGACTGCTTTGACCTGCTTTCCCCTCTACAGCAGCAGCAGGATAAGGAGCTTCCATGCTTTGGGGACATGGGAGGGGCTGGCCCTGACCCCCAAAATATTGAGGGGGCCCCAAAAGGTCTCGGCTTCCAGGAGCTGGTGCCCCTGCACCTTCATTGTCACCTCACATTCCTGCCTAGACAACAACGGGGAGGGGGACACAAGAAGCCTGAGGATGAGGTTGTAGCTTTTGATTCCAAGGTAATGATTCTTTCAGTATTGCTGGGCTTGTGTATCCTTCCCAGAATAGCAGATTGTAAATTTCTTCTTCCTTTTCAATCTTGGTTGGCTCCCCACCACCATCGAGCCTTGAATAGAGTATATTTTGGGGTTGAGTGCCAAGAACATAGAATTTACTCTGTGGAATATCTCTCTAGGGGGAATTCGGCAGCAGAAGGGGGCAGTTGATGGAGGAGGACTGTGGGCCTCTTGTTCGCAGGCCTCGATTGAAGGTTTCTGTGGTCTGCCCTGGGGCCAGCCACCGGGGTGTCAGGAAGTTTGGCATGAGATTATTACCTAGGGCCACCAGCAAACTCTGGAGTAGAGCGAAAGATCAGCCAGCAGCCTCGTATTTTTTTGGACGTAGCCTAGGCAAATATTGAGATACTTTCTTTTTAACATGGAGGCTGGGCAGGAAGTAAGGTTCTTTGGCGCCCATTTGATTGCTAATGGTAGCAGAGATGGAAAACTTAATCTATGTGGCATGCGTAAGAAGCCAGTAGCTCATTAGGTTGCTGGGGAGTGTGCAGGATGGCTTTTAGAGGCCACCGAAAGACGTTCTGAGGTTTCAGACTCCCCACAAAAGTATGGCTGTGCCTTCTGCTTTAAATACCTCTCTGGTACTAAAAACGGCATTACTTTTAGTGGTGACGTTAAACAGAATGTAAGGTTTTAATTGCATAATCTGTTCACTTCTTTAAAATGTCACTTGGAATTTCATCTTTCCCCTCCATGGGCTCCGCGTGTTCATTCCACAGGCCGTATGTGCCACTTTTGCCTGTCTGCATAAAAGGAGATACACAATGCTGTTTCTAAGCCAGGGATAGTAAATCTGTAGCCACCCCAGACATTATTGGACTACACCTCCATTATCCATAATCTTGAAAGACCTACACTGGCTCCTAGTACGTTTCCGAGCACAATTCAAAGTTTTGGTGCTGACCTTTAAAGCCCTAAACGGCCTCGGTCCAGTATACCTGAAGGAGCATCTCCACCCCCATCATTCTGCCCAGACACTGAGGTCCAGTGCTGAGGGCCTTCTGGCGGTTCCCTCACTGCGAGAAGCCAAGTTACAGGGAACCAGGCAGAGGGCCTACTTGGTAGTGGCACCCACCCTGTGGAATGCCCTCCAACCAGATATCAAAGAGAAAAACAACTACCAGACTTTTAGAAGACATCTGAGGGCAGCCCTGTTTAGGGAAGCTTTTAATGTTTAATTGGTTATTGTATTTTAATATTCTGTTGGAAGCCGCCCAGAGTGGCTGGGGAAACCCAGCCAGATGGGCGGGGTATAAATAATAAATTATCATAATCATCCATAACTATTTATCTTGGGATAGCTCAGTTGGTTTTAGAGTGTGGTGCTGATAATGCCAAGGTTGCAGGTTCGATCCCCACTATATGGGACAGCTGCACATTACTGCATTGCAGGGGTTTGGACTAGATGGTCCTCAGGGTCCCTTCCAACTCTACAATTCTATGGGTTTATGGTTCTCTTGGCCATATTGGCTAGAGCTGTTGAAGTTGGGGTCTGGCAAGAACTGGAAGACCATAGGTTCTCCACCCCTGTCCTGAGCAAAATGCCCTTCTCCCATTCCTGTGGCAGGCACTTGCTAGCTTTATATGGAGAGATGGAAAGGCATAAAAAGAGGGGGTGGGGGTGGGGCAGAAAATGGAGACCAAATGTTCTTCTGGACCTGGAGTTATCCATGAATGGATGGTGGAAAAAACATACATTTTATTGCTGGTTTGTCAAATGCAAAGCAACCTTGAAGAGGGATGGCCTGTTCCTCTACAAGAGACAGCCTTTGAAGATACTGGTCTTTATTACTTTGGAGGTTGCTTTTGTTTTTGTTTTGCAAAATTTAAAAATTATTGCAAAGGATTCATATGGCCAAAAGCAGAGAACCCTGGTCTCTCTGCCACATATGCCCCTCTGGCATAGATGTATCAATTCACAGCCACCAGGGCCACATGTTCTTTTAAAGGAGTGTGTTTGCCCACCAAGCTGTTCCCACTGCGAATGTATGCAAGGCTGAAAATGCATCATCTGCTGTCCGGTGCAGCTGCTATCCTGCTGTCTTTTGGGTACCTGCTGCCCAGCATGGCATGGGAAAGTATGAGCTTTTTCTCCATCTGTACTGCCCAGCCCTCTGGGCTATCCAGTTTTCTTAGACAGCCTGAGACGCAGTGGCTTTTTTGCTGCCTGTTTGCTTTACTCCCAGCCTTGCCAGTGAGCCATACTTCACCATTATTATTATTTTGCAGCCTCGATGACAGTTTGCTGAACTCATGCATGCATTTTTTTAATTATTTTTTTTTTAGGATATAAAATTGAAAGCAGGGTAAAGTGCCAGGAACACAAACCCCACCAGGCAGCCGTGCTGTTTTATAACAGCTGTGTGGGTCTGCCTGCTGAAGGAGGAGGCCCGCTCTGTGGTATGTTTGCCTTAGGAATTTTAACCAGGTGGGCCTTGTATGTTTTAAGGTGTATGCTTGAAGGCATCTACTTTTAACCCATTAGGGACATGGATTTTGGGAGGCAGGCCGGGTCTAGAAGAGCTTGAGCTGATAAAATGGCATGATAATTGGGCATGAAAGGAGAGAGGAGCAAGTGAGATGGTTCAAGGATTTCCTCCACCTGCCTCTACTTCCTTTCACTGCCTTCCACCTAGGACAACACACAAATGTTACATATTGATTCATACAGGGGGAGGGACAAGCATGAACTGTTTCACAAGTTTTCCTGCATGCATAAAGGGTGAGGGGGGAGAGGTAAGCAGACCCGACTCCACTTCCACTATACCAGGCTTCCTCAAACTCGGCTCTCCAGATGTTTTTGGCCTACAACTCCCATGATCCCTAGCTAGCAGGACCAGTGGTCAGGGATGGTGGGAATTGTAGTCTCAAAAAATCTGGAGGGCCAAGTTTGAGTAAGCCTGCAATATACACTTCTCTGAGCCACTTGCCCTGTTCATGTAGGGCAGCGTTTCCCAAACTCTGGATTTCCAGTTGGGTTTTTTTGGACTACAATTCCCATCATCCCTGACCACTGGTCCTGCTAGCTAGGGATGATGAGAGTTGTAGTCTAAAAAAACCACAGCTGAAGACCCAAGTTTGGGAAACCCTGATGTAGGGCCTGAGGTTTGTACAGCAAGGACCAGAGCAGCATTTTAGCCCCTACCCTTGGCATCCTTTCCTGTTCAGTAAACTCAGCTTGTGTGTGATTGCACCCAAACAATCAGATGCCCTGATTATGGAGAATCGGGGTTGGGATCCGCTGCATGTCCTAGATGCAATGCTGTTGTCTTACCCTGCTGTGATAGGTGTATAGCCACCCCCTGGTGTTTTTGTTAATCCCGTAGCAAATGCCGAACTTGTGGCTGGGGCAGAGGTATGCATACAAACTCTGCCCTAGAGTCCTTGTGTGTTTCGTGTGTCCCCTGTCCCCGCTCGGCCCCCACACTGAAAGGAGACCCCCTTGAAATCAACGGGCTTAAGTTAAGATGGATATCACGCCTATATTTTATGTGCATTGCCATTTGAGGTCAGTCATGTCACTGTATGTCTAATTAGAGTATTGCTCAGCACTTGATGAAGATGCTGTCTTCCTGGCTCTGTGTTTTTCGTCCCTTCAGGACCAAAACTGCTGCTAGAATTATGCTCTGGTTAGTGAATCACTAGCTGTAGTCAGATCATTTCAGGACCTGTGTCTCGAAATCATACTTCATTTATCTCTAGGGCATGAGAGTTTTCCAGAGCACTTCACATCAATCATTGGAGTTTTTCTTCCAGCAACCAGTATTATTCCCTCTCTGTTGTTGGCCTGTGGAGGTGTGGGCATGCTGTGAATAGCAAAGCCATGGGAGAAGTGAGACCTGAACTGGTGGGTTTTTGGCTCCTTGGCCAATTTGCTGCACTACCTCAGTGAAAACACCCACTCTAGTGGGCATGGAGTGTATTTCATCATTCTGAAAGTGGGAGAGCGTGCAGACAGCCAGAGGGCATGTCTGTGTCCAATCATGAATGAAGGAGGGAATCCCCATAGATAGGAATCTTGATTGAATCCAATGCCTTGAGGAAAAAGGATTTGGAAAGGGAGATGCACTGACAGTTGCACCGAAACTCATGCCAAGTATCCTAAATAATGCCAGTTGTTTTGTCTGTTGTAACTCTAGAAGCTAGGCAAGCTCTGAGCTGGTGCAAGGGTGGAGTTCAGCCCATGGATTATGAAGAATTAGTCCCCATGGTCATCTTGGCAGTGCCTAGTCCTGAGTGAAATCTAATTGTGGTATTTCTTAACGAGAGAGAGAAGGGGGGGGGAGGTAGAGAGCATCTGCTGTCCCCTTGAGAATAGCCTGAATTGCCTTGCATAAGTCATGCTGGAGGATTTTAAAAATTGGATTCTAGGTGAGGGGATTGGTGGAGTACCTCCAATTTCAATTGGGTCTGCAGCATGCAGGGATGTGAGCCTTAACCATTCTCTTCCCAGCTGGGGTCCCGATGGATTTAGTGCACACCTGCACCCATGCTGCAGTTAGAAACACAGAAAAACCTCCCATTGGCACTAGTTGGCTGTTCTTCAGAAGGTACTGAAAGGAAACAGGAAGGAGGACTTCAATGGGGGTGCCCCTTTTTGGCTTAGTGGAGGTGTAGAAGTCAGATCCTTCTGCTGACCCGACCCTACCTAACCGGTACCCGTCTTGCAGTCGTTGAATGCAGACCGAGGTGGTGCTTGAGAATGATTGATTGATTCTTTGCCTATTCCACAGAATGCAATGTTTGGGAGCGACTGCTTTGCAACATGTCCCAATGCACTAGGCTGCTTGGCCGGTCCTGCCTGCTTTTGTCTCCTATAGTGTGGTTTTTGTGGTTGAAACCACACCAAGCTTGTAGAGGAGGAAACCCATTAAGGATTAAGAGGTCAGTCTGCATTCTGCATAGTTTCTGTATGTGTCTGAATGCAAGTCTCAGAGCCACTTGCTTCTATCAGCGTCACCAGCAACCCCTGCAGGGCACAGGTGGAACGTGACTCTCCCAAGCAAGAGGCAGTTCCCACAGACCGTCTTCTCCTGCCTGAGATGGAAGGAATCTATTCAGAGGCCAGGATTTATGAACCTAGCCTCTTACCCAAAGGCCTTCTCAGAGGTTTACAGTGACCCAGGCCATTTCCAGCTTCTGAGCGACCTAGCCATGTTAAAAATAAAAAATGATGACACACAAAAACCTATTTAAGACACCCAGAAAAGAGCCAGTGGCTTGTTTATAGAATCAGCTGATCTGAGAGGGAACGTTCTTCATGGTCAAATCTTGTTCCATCAGAACCGATACTTTCTTAATCATTTTTGTGAATATTTTTAGCTCTTTAATATGACAAAATCTATTACCAGTTAACACAAAAAATATGTCTTTTACCAGATCACTTCTCCTATTTGCTTAAATCTGCACTTCTAAGCTGAGAGTGTGTGTCACATTTTGGTCCAATGTGCATACAAACAAGTTGCAAAAATTATCAAATAGTTTTTAAAAAACCTCAAGTGTCAAAATCAGAGACTCGTTTTGAGCTTAATGCCCTAGGTCTAATGGCTATCCTGCCCAACATCCATTGTTTGGCCCTGTTTGTCTATAACTGTGAAAGTGTAAATGTGTGTGTATGTGTGTGCAGGTCACAGATTAAAAGAATCAAGGAGCAGCACCTGATATGAAAAACCCTTTGTCTGAAACCCCTGGAGAACCATTACCAGTCAGATGTTACTGGTCCAGATAGACAAATGGCATGAAGCTTCGTCTGTAGCTTGGTGATGCTCATGTATATGGCACTTCTCTGGGATATTCAGTTAGGAATGATAGCCGCAAAGGCCTTCTGGTTCGCCAGCTGTGCCCCTTCCTGGGAAAGTTAACATCTCCACAGTCATCCCTGCCCTAGTTCGCACCAGGTTGGACTACTGCAATGTACTGTACATGGGGCTAGCTTTGATGACCGACTGGAAATTTGACTTTGTGTAGAAAGCAACAACCAGCATTTTGTCTGGGGCTAGCTAGTTGCTGAGATCATATTTATGCCACTCATGTACCAGTTTTATTGGCTACTAATTAATTTCTGTGTCCAATTCAAGGTGCAGTTTCTGACCTAAACAATTTGGAACTGAACTAGGCTGTTTCCTCTTGCCTGTGGCCTTTTCAACCAAGGCACCTTAATTTTGGAAAGATATACCTGCCCTCATCACTGTCTGCTCTCAGGAAAGCTCAAAATCCATTGGGCATTTAGAATTCCTTAAAATGATTGTCTCTGTGAAGCGTTGAGGTTTTCATCCTTCCACTTTTCTTGGTGGGGGCTGGGGTTGTGTATGCATCATAGTCATATTTTATTCACTGTAAGTTTCCTTTAATGCATATTATAAAGGTAACAGGACCCCTGACCATTAGGTCCAGTCATGACCGACTCTGGGGTTGCGGCACTCATCTCACTTTATTGGCCGATGGAGCCGGCGTACAGCTTCTGGGTCATGTGGCCAGCAGGACTAAGCTGCTTCTGGCGAACCAGAGCAGCGCACGGAAACGCCGTTTACCTTCCCGCCGGAGCGGTACCTATTTATCTACTTGTACTTTGACATGCTTTCGAACTGCTAGGTGGGCAGGAGCAGGGACCGAGCAATGGGAGCTCACCCCGTCGCGGGGATTCGAACCACTGACCTTCTGATCGGCAAGTCCTAGGCTCTGTGGTTTAACCCACAGAGCCACCCACGTCCCACATATTATGCAGAAGTGCAATTAATTTCTGGTCTTCTCGGTGTGGAATTCATGATACAGTTGGAGGGACCGCAGAAGGAGCTCCCAGTGGAGGCAGTGATGGCCAACAACGTGGATGGCTTTACAAGAGGGTTAGACAATTTAATGGAGGATAAGTCTGTCCATGGCAACTAGCCATAACAGCTGTGTTCCACTGCCACTGTCAGAGACAGTGTGCCTCTGAAAACCGGTTCCTGGGTATCACAGGTGGGGAGAGTGCTGTCACACCCAGATCTTGCTTGTAGCAGCCCCACACTGTTGCTTGCAGCAGTGCCAACCACCACTAGGTACTGCGAGAACAAGGTGGTGGACTAGGTGGGCCTTTGGCCTGGTCCAGCAGCGCACTTCTTATAGTCTTTCCCCCAGAAATGCCTGGAATGCCAATGAAATAACAGGAAGGCCAACTGCAGAAGCCACTCTGGTCTCAAGATGGTTCTGGTTGGAACACGGGTTTAAACACTACTGAGCCAGAGCAGAACACAAACTCCATGTAAATCTTGATGCCAAATGAACTTCTCATCCTTCTTGAAGGCTGGGAGTCAGGCTTGTTTGTGCATGGGTGAGCATGATACTTGGTTGCTTCTATTATCTTGCAATAAACACTTTCAGAAGGAATTGTTCTCCCTACTTGGCTGATTGCCACAGGAATGTTCTGAGATTGCCACACACACTTCCATCTTCCCAAGGAGTTTGAAGGATGTGTGATTCCCAGCGTGAACTTGAAAGGGGGACAGAAGTAGTTATTCTAGATTTCAATACATTGCAGGTAATCTATGCAAACAGAGTATGCAAAGTTGGCAAAGTCATTAAAGGAACTCTCCTGTAAAAAGAAAGAAAGAAAGATTAAATTAATGTTCTTCCCTGCTTTCCCAGAAACGATGCCTACTTTCATTGCCACATGACATGGCTCTTCTGATTTGAAGTTCTGCATTGGTCACATTGGCTCAAGAGCAGAATCACTGTTCATGAGCACAAGAGGAAAAGGCCATTTAGCACCTGGGCTCCAAGAGAAGATGTAGAGCTGGGTGATGCTGGACTCCCATCTCCCATCAGTCCCAGCCAGCATGGCCAATGGTCGGAGATAATGGAAGTTTGAGTCCTATAGTATCTGGAGGAAGGCAAGTTCTCCATCCCATTTCTACAACTGGCTAATTTGCCAAACCAAAATATTGACAAAATGTTCACTTTAGAAAATATGGTTTTGTTTTATTTTATTGGTTCCCACTAGCCTTGAGACTGCAAAGGTGTTTTCTTTTTCAAACAGGAAAACAAACTTAATGAGCCTGGTCTGGGGGCCCCCAAGTGCAGATTGCCTCACTTGGCTCCCCTCCCCTGAGTCTTTAGAGGTGAGAGCAGAGGCCCCTCGGGAATACCGTTGACTTGAGACTGAGTGAGAGAACCTATTAAATGGGAATTGGCCAAATCAATAAATCAAGGCACCTGAAAGCTGAAACTAAGGTCTAAGGTGGTTATGCTGCTAGCATTCCGCGCTCCTCTCGTCAATTAAAACAAACACAACTAAGATGGCAAACATGTCATTCTGCCACATTATGTTAAACGGAAAAGCGTTTGTTCAGTTGGACACAGGTAGATGTGCATGCAACTGTAATGCTTTAAGGATTGGTCACCTTTTAAAAATGGAAAACACAAGTCAGTGCTATGGAAGTGTGACCATTCCAACTACAGTGGTACCTCGGGTTAAGAACTTAATTCGTTCCGGAGGTCCATTCTTAACCTGAAACTGTTCTTAACCTGAGGTACCACTTTAGCTAATGGGGTCTCCCGCCGCCCCCACACAATTTCTCTTCTCATCCTGAGGTAAAGTTCTTAATCCGAGGTACTATTTCTGGGTTAGAGGAGTCTGTAACCTGAAGCATCTGTAACCTGAAGCGTCTGTAACCCGAGGTACTACTGTACAGTGTTCTGTCTAGAGCAGGGCTTCCCAAACTTGGGTCTCCAGCTGTTTTTGGACTACAGCTCCCATCATCCCTAGCTAGCAGGACCAGTGGTCAGGGATGATGGGAATTGTAGTCCTGAAACAGCCGGAGACATGAGTTTGGGAAACCCTGGTCTAGAGAAGCAGTCTTAATGATTATAGAAAGGGTAGCCAAGGTGGTACCATCTCAATGTTGTGGCAATTTTAGGTACAGGTTTTAATTTGGGTTGCTCCCCCCCCCCGGCATACTTAATATATTTTGTAATATTTCTGTAGTGCTTAGCAGCAGCAGTTCTTTTCTGGTCTACAGAGTGGGGTACAAATAGAAACAATAGCATTCCACATGTGGACTGGGGCCAGTATGAAAGTAGATCACATACCTCTCCCAGCAGCTGCCAGGAATGTGAGCTGAAGCACCACGTGGTGACCCAGAGCCATGTGTTGAATGTTCGCATGTGTTGAATGGAGAAGGTGGTGCGTCTCAGCGGTAGAGCATCTGCTTTGCGTGCGAAAGGTCCCACGCTCAATACCCAGCATCTCCAGGTAGGGCTGAGAGAGATCCCTGCCTGAATCCCTGGAAGGATGCTGCCAGTCCATGAGTAGACAATACTGAGCTAAATGGACCAATGGTCAGACTCAGTTTAGGCAGCTTTCTATTTTCCTAAAGATAAAGGTAAAGGGACCCCTGACCATTAGGTCCAGTCGTGGCCAACTCTGGGGTTGTGGCGCTCATCTTGCTTTATTGGCCTAGGGAGCCAGCGTCCAGCTTCCGGGTCATGTGGCCAGCATGACTAAGCCGCTTCTGGCAAACCAGAGCAGCACACGGAAACGCCGTTTACCTTCCCACCGGAGCGGTACCTATTTATCTACTTGCACTTTGACGTGCTTTCGAACTGCTAGGTTGGCAGGAGCAGGCACCGAGCAACGGAAGCTCACCCCGTCGTGGGGATTCGAACCACTGACCTTCTGATCGGCAAGTCCTAGGCTCTGTGGTTTAACCCACAGCGCCACCCGTGTCCCTTATTTTCCTATGTCCTTGCAAAACAATGTATGATTAGACAAAACTGCATGCAAAAAAAAGAAGTGATTATTATGAGAAAGTTAAACTAAAATGCTGATTACAGGTAGGTAACCGTGTTAGTCTGCCATAGTCGAAACAAAATAATAATAATAATAAAATTCCTTCCAGTAGCACCTTAGAGACCAACTAAGTTTGTTATTGTTATTCAGATACTGTCTGAAGAAGTGTGCATGCACACGAAAGCTCATACCAATAACAAACTTAGTTGGTCTCTAAGGTGCTACTGGAAGGAATTTTATTATTATTATTATTATTATTATTATTATTATTATTATTATTATGATTCTGATGAATTTCTATGAGGCTTGGTTAAAAAAATAATCATCGTAAATTGCTGCAGAAATGTGGAGAAATGAATTTAATGTGGGGAAGAAATGAAATCAAAAGAACCTTCCATCCCTTCTTGTAACCGTTCCCCCCGATTTTTCAGAATGGAATACAACATGTGAACGGCCTTTGCTTAATACTGGTATGCTACCCATTTTATCCCTCCTAGAAATTAGACCATGAATATTTCATCAAGAAAAGGCTGTACACAGAATGAAGCGGTTCTAGCACACAGCTATCGAACGTAGACTAGTAATGGCAATACTGCAGAGAATCTGTTCTTGAGTAGGAACTCATTTGATGTGGTTGGTGGATGCAGATGAGATATTTGTAGCTGCTTTTACCATTTTAAAATCAAAGGAGCCAGTTAGCTCCCAGGCGAGGAGTTCTGTTCTTTTTTTAGTACATGTTATGTTGCATATTGAGAGGGCAATGGAAGAGCTCAGGTTTGCCTCTATCCAAAGGCCAAATTCAGGGTGGGGATGGTTTTGTGAAATTTCTTCTCCACCCTGCCTCCATAGTTGGCTCTAATCCTTACCTACGGGCCTGTCTCATGGAGGATGCGAATTAATTTCCCCTCCTGATCCACTCTGGGGAGTCCATTGTGTGCATTAGACAGGCTTTTGTGGTGCTAATTTACCGGATCAGATTGGGCAATTAGCTGTTTATAGGACTGGGTGTGATGTGTAATTTTCCTGTTACACTGCAAAAGGTGCATATGTGTGTGTCTATGCAATCAAAATTTATCCCCTCCCTCTCCCAAGCTCATTTCCCTTGGGCTCACTTGAAAGTCACCAGTATGAAGTCAGTGAGGGAAAAATCTCTCACTTCTTGTGGTTTTGGTGAGACTTTCATGATGCCCCATCCAACCTGAATTTTCTTGTGTAGTAAGGGGTAGCAGCCTGTTTTCAGATCCTTCTTGTATAAGTGTGAGCTGGATTACTAATTCCTCTTGTTAACAGGCCAATTGCTAACTAAAGTCTGTTCTGTCTATGACTCCACACTCAGCTCCACACCCCCCCCCACAACTGATGCAGCTGATGTGATTAATGTTTGTCTTCTAACTATTGAGGTGGGGGGGGAGAGGGTCAACTGCAGATTGTTGACTTAAGTACAGCTGCTCTAAAGAAAGTTGGCAATTCCTTTGCCGTGGATAAGTATGGAATTGGAGGACTTGCATGTTGGCACAAACGTGTGAGGATATTTGAATTATATTAATCATTTGATTTAATTTGATGTTAATTTGTTAAATTTTTTGAAAAGCGATAAAATTAATTGGCAAAAATAAATAAACGTGCAGGTAGATTTGCCTCCACTCCTATTCTTTCTAAGGTTGTGTGCACATTCAAAGCACACAGTCTTCTAAGAATTCTGGGTAGTTTACGCCTCACAGAGTTAAAATTCCCAAGTGACAGTGCCGGGGCGAGCGGGCAGTATTCTGTGGCTCTGTCCAGGTATTGCCATGGGTGCAACCCTGATAGCTCTGTTGTGCCCACCGATCTTACAGAACTTCCAGGTTAGCGGAGTCTGTAACCTGAAGTATTTGTAACCCAAAGCATTTGTAACCTGAGGTACCACTGTATGTATATATAGAACAGGGGAATCCCCACATGCACACATCCTGTAATGCAGTGTTTCTCAACCTGTGGGTCCCCAGATGTTTTTGGACTACAACTCCCATCATTCCTAGCCAGCATGATCAGAGGTCAGGGATGATGGGAGTTGTAGTCCAACAACATCTGGGGACCCACAGGTTGAGAACTCCTGCTGTAATGGAACCCCAGTGTCAGTGGCTCCCACAGGGGAGCCACAGAAAGAATGTGGTTGGTCAAGGGCGCCGTGGATTAAAAAAGGTTGAAAACCACTGTGCCCAGAATATCTAGGTAGGAATATTCCCTGCCTAAAACCCTGGAGAGCTGCTGCCAGTCAGTGTCAAGAATACTGAGCCAGATGGACCGGTGGCCTGTCATGCTATAAGGCCGCTTCCTCTATTCCTGTGACAAAGTCTGTGATTCATATGAACCTGTTAGACTAGATGAGTTCATTAGGAACCGTCTGTATAATGCACAGCCCCAGGATAGCGGAGGATGCCAGACATCCTTTCCCCCTCATATCTGAGGAGTGAAACAGTTCAGTTTAGATTGTGAAACTGTCCGGGATGATGCCTGCCTCCTGGGGATTTTCCAGCTGGCAGTGTGGGAGCAAACAGGCTTCGATGGAGCGCCTTCAGGAAGAATTCCAGACAGAACTCCGAGAACAACATAACAGGTTTCATTAGTTCTGGCTCTGATATGATTTACCTCCCTGCTGATACCTCCCATCCCAATCCATCACCACTGTGCCCACAAAAATCTCCCTGATCGTTTAGTGAAGAGAAGCCTTACCTTAATGGCCATGGCGTGTTTGAAATGCAGGTGGTATAAAAGCTCAATGTCATTATTATTATTATTTTGCATCAATTAGCCTCACCAAAACAGCATCCTTGGCACCTGATCCAGACCTCTGCAACAGAAGTAGGTTTTCATTCATAAAACTGGAAGGAATACTCTTCGGCTGAGAGTAGAAAAGAGCTAAAAAAGAAGTCGAGAGTCAAAGGAGCTTAATCCCAAAAAGCCTGGAAGAAATATTGTATAACTTCTAATGGGCTGCTTTGCTAGCTGCCAAACCGTGAAACTGATTTATGCTGTTTATGGTTAGAGTGTGTTGCCTCTTTCTGCTCTCACCTGTGTTATTCTGCCTGGCCAGGAAACAAATCCTGGATTGCTTTTGCAGCCAAGGCACTTCTGGGTCTTCAAGCCAGTCAACCAGCCTAAGTTGCCTGAGATTCCTGGTACTCATGAGCGTATCAGGTGGCTTGGGGTGCCAGAGAAAGAAACTACAGGTGTGGCCACATCATGGCTTGCTGAAATGGAATCCTTTTCAAGATCAGTTCCCCTGAGCTCCTGCTCAAAGAAAACCCCTGTCTGGATGGAATGTGTCCTTGAATAATAAAAGGGACTCTTGCTTGCCTGGATGAAGGATAAGGAGAAGTGTGTGTTTGTAGGAAGCAGCCTATTTTACATAGATGAAATTGGTATTCATTTCTCTGCCACCTTTGCCTCTGACCCCTCTCACTCCTGGCATGTGACCTCTGGAAGCTAGCCTATAAGTGAATGTGGCCTTCAGAGCTAAAAATGTTTCCCACTCCTGATGTCCTGGGTAAAGGACCCCTGGACAGTTAAGTCCAGTCAAAGGCGACTATGGGGTTGTGGCGCTCATCTCACTTTCAGGCCGAGGGAGCCGGCGTTTGTCCACAGACAGCTTTCCGGGTCATGTGGCCAACATCACTAAACCAATTCTGGCTCAACGGAACACCATGATGGAAACCGGAGCGCACGGAAATGCCGTTTACCTTTCTGTCGCAGTGGTTTATCTACTTGCACTGGCGTGCTTTCGAACTGCTAGGTTGGCAGGAGCTGGGACGGAGCAACGCGAGCTGCTGATGTCCTGGGATAGATGTCTAGCTGGCGTCATGGCAGTAGAACCAGCAGTTCCTGGTTTTTAGGCCAATGCTTTCATCTGACAAGCTGCTGAGCCCAGGAAGACGCCGCTTGGGAAAAGATGGGTACATGCTGAGACTATGGGGCCAGAGAAATGGAGCTGCTGCTGCTGCTGCCGCCGCCGCCCCTTGCAGCTTCTTTCAGGAAATCCGGGTGACAAAATGTGAACGAAGCACAGAAGCAACCTGAAACTGACTTACTAAGGCCCTTTTCCTTAAAATGTGGAGAGCTGCAAGAACATGTGGTTGGACTGTGCAAGCCTCCTCTGTTCAGGCAACGTCTGTAGGCAGAGGGAGAATCTTGTTGGTACCGGGTCAGGATTGAGGAAGGGCAGGGGCTGACAGCTGACAGCTGGAAAAAGGTAATTTTAACTTACCACACCTGTCAAGTTAGCAGTCGCAGGATCCCCCTCATTCCTTGGAGCTGGGGAAGGGGGCTTAATGGAGAAGCCCCAAGGTTATCTTTTAGGTGCTCAGGTTGAATGAGCTGTCTCCAGACCCATTGTGGTTTAGACAGTGCTAACATCACTTCGGTGTTTATCATCTTGTTTTAGAAACCAAGGAGAAGGGGATTTTCTTCATTCTTTCATCACCTTGTCAGTTCAGATATGACACATACAGTATGTGCTATTTAAAGGAGCAGCAGCCTTCTTAGCAATGATGCAAGGCGAAGAAGCTATTTGTTACAACAAAAGTAATGATCTTTCTCAGCGCTAGCCAAACACTTTAAATGCTACACTATACCAGCCGTCTACCTTGACAAATCTACTGTATTTACTCGAGTCTAATTCACTATTGAATCTAATGCACACCTCAGTTATCAGAACCTCGAAACCATAAATAGTATTTGCTGGCGAATGTAAAAGTGCCATCGAATCTAATGCACACCTTAATTATCACAATATCATTTAGCCAAAAAAGAGGTGAGCATTAGATTCAAGTAAATACGGTATTAAGATTCCATAATGTATAAAGGTAAAGGGTAAAGAGACCCCTGGCCATTAGGTCCAGTCGTGGCCGACTCTGGGGTTGCGGCTCTCATCTCACTTTATTGGCTGAGGGAGCCGGCGTACAGCTTCTGGGTCATGTGGCCAGCATGACTAAGCTGCTTCTGGTGAACCAGAGCAGCGCACGGAAACACCGTTTACCTTCCCGCCAGAGCAGTACCTATTTATCTACTTGCACTTTGACGTGCTTTTGAACTGCTAGGTTGGCAGGAGCAGGGACCAAGCAACGGGAGCTCACCCCGTCGTGGGGATTCGAACCACCGACCTTCTGATCGGCAAGCCCCAGGCTCTGTGGTTTAACCCACAGCGCCACCTGTGTCCCCATAATGGTATATGTGTTGGTAAAATAGGAATGAAGTTCCAAGCTCACATCTACCGTGCATGTGTATCAGTGGAAAAGGCTGGGTATGCCTACAGTCAAAAAAAGACAAATTCAAAGCGTTATAATAAATGGCTGTACAGTAACGAAGCCTGCTGTTCTTCCTGTCTTTGAATATGAGAGTAAAGGAACATTCACTATGGGGAATGGGTAAAAATGGAAGCTGGCTAAATAAAATGCCTTCTCCACCAAAGGTTATCAACTTTTCCAATGATCGTTACACATTATTGATTGATTGATTGATTGATTGATTGATTGATTTGATTTGAATACAGCCTTATACCTGCAGGTCTCAGGGCCGTTCACAGGATAAAATTCAGTGAATGTGTGTGACATGACAGGATTGCAACAGTAAAGTTCCCAGCCAGGACCACCCATGCAATCCCTACATGCCTGCTTTGCATGTCAAGGAACCCTGTTAAGAAACACAGCCCTGGCTATGCACGCAGTTTGTATGTAGGTAGGGACTACGCAGAGTGTCTTATGAACATGTCTATGCTAGAAAGAGGACCAGGGCTTGCCACCATAATCCTGCTTCTCCACCGAGTAAGGTGTTCATTTGAAAAATGTGCAGAGCAGTCTCTGAAACTTTGAGACTGATGGCAATTTTAGTCATGCACATAAACATGCTAGAGAGCATTAGGGGTTTTCAGAGATGGTTGCAGCATACATCTCAGGTTAATAACAGAATTGCTCAGGCTCTTCCTCCACCATATATAGGGGGAAACAAAAATGGACAGCTTGACTGGCATTCCTTGCTCCTGCTCTTACATGGCGGCTGGGGAAGGGGCACAGATCCAAGCAAAGAGTTTGAGAGGTTAAAAACCTGCGGGAAGTAGAGGGCTGCCCGAATGATGGCTCATCATCACATCCAGGAATAGCAAGGTGCTGGTGCTGCCCTGATTTGAAGCTACTGGCAGGAGACGGGCACTTTGGTGGGGAGTTGTGAAGGGGAATTCATCATATCTTCAGCACAAGTTAGCTAAATCTTTTGGGACACCATTTTGTATGACAAGATAATCATGGTGGTAGGTGCAGACCCCTATGCTTTTACAGTACTGGGACGGTGTTGTTTGTGGGTGGGAAGTCTGCTCACATGGTAATAAAACCATGCTGCTGTTCAGTGACTGTATAGTTGACTCTGTGAAGGTCCAAGCAAATCACAAAGCAATGGTGGCACATGTAGGGTCTGTGAAAACGTCACAAATGTGCGCACAACCCGGTTCCTATTTGTTGGGTTAATAAAGGACATCCAAAAACATGAACTGGAGATTGGGTTCTGATCCAATTGGATGTTCCCTTTCATCCTTCCTTATGGAGCCAAAGCTCTATTGTAAAATTTAATTCCCATACATCATTTGCTGTGAAATTTGTATGCGAAAGTATTAGAGGAGTGTGTAAAAAGTTACTGCTGCCTTCTTAAAAGGATCTGTCTTTTCCATGACACATAATTCATTTACCAACATAAAAGGGAAATGACTCACCTTTCATCCAAACAAGAACTCCTAAAGCTTAGCCGACAGCACCTGTCTGGGACTTGGTTACTTATTAACTAATTGCTAGCCAAAGGTGTCCTGGGAAATAAAGAGTTTGCTTAAGTTTCTTCCAGCCTGGAATTTGAATGACCTCTCCTTGCTTGTCAAATAGGATTTGTACACTGAGCAATGTATATAATATGATCTTGCACTTAGCCAGTGGTCAGTGAGTGCCCAACAATCGATTTCTGGATAAGGTTTTAAAATAGCTGCCAAAAACTACATCTGCTAAGAGGCAACTACCCAACTCTAGAGATCAAAATTCTGATTTTGTTGCCTAAAAAGCAAACATAGGCACTACAAACATTTTTACTACCTAATAAAAATATGGCCGGATACCTTTAGCTGAAGAAATTCACACTGACATGTGGGTTTCCGTATCTTTCTCCTTTACTTCCTTCCCTTCAGTGCCCTTCTTGCGATTGACAGGAGAAATGCCGCAGTAATGCTGTAGCAGCTGGCAGAATTCTCCCTTCAGTGCTGCTCTTAGACACAGGATTCCATCTTAGGAGTCTCCAGACCAATGGTGAGGAAACTGTGGCCCTCCAGATGTTGTCGAATCACAACTCCTGTCATCCCTGACATTAGCAGGCTGGGGCTAATGGGAGTTGTCATCCAACAACATCTGGAGTGCCACAAGTTCTGCATCTTTGGGGTAGACGTGCCAAAATTATATCTCCTTGGCTCCTTAGCTTGCAATCCCCAAACCTGCTCCCCAGGCCCCTGTCTCCTCCGCTTACCCTTCCCTCAGGTTCATGAACATCAGTGCACTGATTGCTCTACCCCGTTCCTTCAGCTCACCTTTTTCTTCTCCCTGGCTTCTTTAGCCACTTTCTGGTCAGTCAACTTTCCAATAACAGCCTATGTGAAATTTAAATCCCAGTCAAGCAGAGAACTATCCATTTTCATAGACTCCTGACTAGGGATGGAAGGGTCTGTCAATTTTGGTTCTCTCTATTTCTCAATTTTCCCATCTTAAATTCAGTCCTGCAGCAAATTACTAGCATTTTAGTGTGCATTCCTCCTAATAAACACATTTTCATATGCAGTTTTGAATAATGTCCACTTTTATATCACCTACCATAATGCATTATTGTATGCTATTTTCAGTGATATATGCAATTTTTATGCTCCAACAGTTAAGTACAGTTGCGAATGACTCTGGGGTTGCGGCGCTCATCTCACTTTATTGGCTGAGGGAGCTGGCGTTTGACTAAGCCGCTTCTGGTGAGACCATAGCAGTGCATGGAAATACCGTTTACCTTCCCACCGGAGCGGTACCTATTTATCTACTTGCACTTTGACGTGCTTTCAAACTGCTAGATTGGCAGGAGCTGGGACCGAACAATGGGAGCTCACCCCGTCACAGGGATTCGAACTGCCGACCTTCTGATTGGCAAGCCCAAGGCTCAGTGGTTTACACCACAGCGCCACCTGCATCCCATCACTTTCCCCTAATGTATGCTTGGGTTTGTTTTGAAAACTTTGGTTGATTGAAAAATTCAAATCGCTGCGAATTTTGAAGGATGACTCAGTTTAGGTTCTCATATTGTTTCAGAAATGACAAAGTTCATAGATAGGTGTGAACTGAGTTGAATTTCACCTCTATTCCTAACCCTTACTGTGAACTTTTTGATGTGGATGCTTGGACTTCACAGTGCTCAAGCCAGGCGATGCATTACCTTGAGTTCTACATGTTTTTGGATCCGCTTGGATAGGGATGCATGAGGATCAAACTTTTCACACACCAGAAGATATTGAACTTGACATGAACTTTCCTTCCAACATCTTCAGCCATGAAGAAGATTATTGTATTGTATTGTGCTGTGCTGTGCTGTGTTGTGCTGTGTTGTGCTGTGTTGTGCTGTGCTGTGCTGTGTTGTGTTGTGTTGTGTTGTGTTGTTGGACCATTCTAAAATGGCACTGGAGTTCTGTTTTTCCACTCCACCCCCTTTAAAAGCAGGTGTATTCAGAACCAAGCTGGAATTATGGTGTGTGTGTGAGAGAGAAATTTCGTTCTGCTGGCTTCACATGAATGCATTGCAAACTTGCAAACAGAATGCCAGGGAAGCGAGTTAACCCAAATGTTTAATCTCCCTAAAGCTGCCCTCAGATATGGTGGAAAGTAAGCTGTGACTTACTAATAGACTCTAAATCTTGCATTGCTATTTCGTAGAGGTAGCTTTGTTCTGTAGCTTGCTTGCTTCCTGATTGTTCTGTCACCAAAAGGGAGGGAAATCGTTCTGCTGCACTCAGAACCAAGATTAAGGGGTGCCTTTTTAAAATAAAGCAGCTAAGGGGAGGGGGGCTTTTCAGTTTTAATTGCTGCCAGGGGGATGTTGTACGGTGAAAACTGCCAGAATCGTTTCCTTTCCTGTTTTGTTTTTCTGCCCACACAGTTTTGCAGTTGCCGATAAACAAAATTCCAAGTCCCAGCAAGAGGTTTTCCCCCTCCTCCTGAATCAGAAAAAAACACCCTGTGCTGAAGAGCGAGCGCATGCTTTGCTGAACTAATAGAAGGAGGTGGAGGAACAGGAGAACTTTGTGACAAGCAGATAGATCTAGATCCACATTATTATTGTTTTTATTCTTGGTCCTTTTGCTGTTTTCTCTGGATAGGGATGTCTTCCTGTCCCGCTGCTTGAGGTGGAATTTGCACATTTACAGCTTGTGCCCTTGTACGGAGGCCAGCTCCAACTCTAGCAGTTTATGCCGCCTCCTCTTATGGCCTGAGGGAATCTCTGTGACTCGGGGGTTAGAGAAGAAGAGCGTGGGGGTTGGAGGCCAGGACTCTTTGACCCTGGAGACCCTGTTGCCTCGCTGCATGTGTGGGCCATTGGCTGAATCATTTAGCCTCACTGTGTGTTTCTGGGAGTTTTCAACTGCTGGGTAACCAAGCTTCCCTCCTTGCCAGAAAGCAGTAACTTGAGGTTTATAAGCCTGATTTCCCCCGATAAAGGATGCTATGTGCTTCTTGGTTCTCTCTCTTCTTTACTCAGCTCAATCCAGATGTAGGTGTGTAAATGTACAAGCACATTCAGCTTGCTGTTTGAAATGGGACGGAGGAAGGTTTGGTCTATAAATCCAATAAAATAATTGTGCATGGTACCCTTTCATATTGGCCAGGGATGTGGAACCTGTCACCCAGTTCCCCCGGAGAAGGGTTCACATGGAAACACTACTGCCACTGATATTTTTCTAGAAAAAGAGGTGTCGGGACTCACCATGAATGCCTCCCTTGTTCTCCCTCGGGTTACAGACGCTTCAGGTTACAGACGCTTCAGGTTACAGACTCTACTAACCCAGAAATAATACCTCAGGTTAAGAACTTTGCTTCAGGATGAGAACAGAAATTGTGTGGTGGCGACACAGCAGCAGCGGGAGGCCCCATTAGCTAAAGTGGTGCTTCAGGTTAAGAACAGTTTCAGGTTAAGAACGGACCTCCGGAACGAATTAAGTTCTTAACCCGAGGTACCACTGTAATGGCAATGGCACCCACCTGAGAGGATTGCCGGAACTGAGCTCACTGGGTGACGTTGTGCCAGCTGCTCCATCTCAGCCTGACTTACCTCACATGGTTGTTGTGTGGATATAAATGGGGAGAACCATGTACACGTCCTTGGAGGAGAACGTGGTATACAAACATCAGAAACAAAGCAAACAAATAATTTAGCTGGCTTCAGTTTAGTGCTTCACTAATGTTCGTTGCTACTTGCGTCTCCCTAAGCGGTTCCCAGAAAGATTCAGAATCTTATGGGCAGCAGCAAGTGGCTCTTGAGACGACTTCCAAGCTTTCTTAACTTACAGTAGGGACAAGGAACCATTTCCCTTTCCTTGCTGCAGTATATTGTGGGCTCTTTTCATGGGAAGGGAAGCAGCATCTACTGCTGTCTCCAAGGCTGGGATACTGGGGATAACAACTCCAAATGGGAGACAGTTGGGGTGAAAAGTTGCCGCAAACAACCTTTCATTTTTTGCAGCAGCGGTAGTGATGGTGGTATGCAGACATTTCCACCCTGGATCTTGGCATCTGCTCACATTTTTTGCTATGACTGTACTTCGTTCCGAGGCAGAAAACGCTTGACTTGTAAAAAACTGGCTAAAGATTTATTACTGCCATCTCTGGAGCAAGGATTTGAAATCCTGACTTCCACAGCGGCATTCCTGTGTCCCTCTTGGAAGGCTGCTTGGCACCTATGTCTGAGCCTGGGTGGGGCATTTCGTGAAAGAGCTTTGATCTCTCCTGGCAACATACTTTCAAACAAGCCGCAGAAGGAGCAACATTACCTGAGAGGGTGAGATAACAGGTAACAGCTTTCTGCGCAGGGCCTGTGATAATTCTGCTCTTTATGGGGCTTTGATTGCAGCAGGATACTTAGGAGCCCAAGGAAACTTCAAAAGCTGCGCACACTGCCATTGCACCACCTTGTGCAAAGAACCGTAAGAGGGGCGGGCGTGTGTATAGAGGCATGTTTATTACTCTCATTGAGAAATATTTGCACTAGCTCAAATACTAAAGCAGGAAGTAACAGTGTTGTTTTCCAGCTTGCAGAGTTAGAAAACAAAAGAAAAGAACGGCTGTGCCAAGATTGGCTTTAAATTTCTCAGCTTCTGCCATTCTTAGGGAAACATGGAGTAAAACAGGCTTATCACTGAATTTGCCATACGAGAACGGAGATAGATACGGGTTCAGCCTTTCTATGCCCAATTACATATGTAAGGTAAAGTTAAAGGGACCCCTGACTATTAGGTCCAGTCGTGACTGACTCTGGGGTTGTGGCGCTCATCTTGCTTTATTGGCCAAGGGAGCCGGTGTTTGTCTGCAGACAGCTTCGGGGTCATGTGGCCAGCATGACTAAGCCACTTCTGGCAAACCAGAGCAGCGCATGGAAATGCCGTTTCCCTTCCCGCCGGAGCGGTACCTATTTATCTACTTGCACTTTGACGTGCTTTCGAACTGCTAGGTTGGCAGAAGCTGGGACCGAGCAACGGGAGCTCACCCCATCACAGGGATTCAAACTGCTGACCTTCTGGTCGGCAAGTCCTAGGCTCTGTGGTTTAACCCACAGCGCCACCCGTGTCCCAATTAGATATGTACTTAATATGGAATAGGCAGATCCGTATCTTGTTTTTCCTTAGCCAATTAAAGGTGCAGGAGAGCCCAGTTCTCACAGTGAAGGCAGTAAATGCTGGTGGGGAGACTGATCTTTTCATCACTCCTGCACCTCGTTTGGCATAGACGCTCCCTGCCGCAGCTGTGGAGCTAGGAGCCATGGAGGGAAAGATCACCACTGGCACTATTTGGAAATGCTTGTGTAAAGTGACAATAAAAAGCTCAATGAATAAAACAGTGGTGATAATCCCAGGATGTATTGCTACCCTTCACAGTTAATTGGACAGACGTAATTCACTGTTAATAGTTGGGCAGGTTGCTTTGAGCCGCTTCTTCACTGAGACAATTTCATCCTGTCATAACCAGGGGGAGTCCTTCCTCAGGATGAAACATTTTTTGGTGAGGTGGTCAGGAATAGCATCTGCACCACTGCCATTTTTCCACGGAAGCTAGGAATTCCTTTTTTTAAAAAAAAAATCAGCAAAATAAAATCAAAATTGCTCAAGTGACTTTCGAGTCCAACTCCATTTAAACGATAATTTCTAGAGCACGGGCACTGAGGAAGGATCCATTTCCCTCAGAGTGAGGCAGAGAGGTGGGTGGGGAGTAGAGAGAGCAAAACTCTCTACCAGTAAGTGACAAGGAAAGTGAAAGGGAGATAGCCCCTTGTCTTGGACCACCTAAGACAGATCACCAACCAAATAGCAAAAGCAGTGCCGATTTAAAACTAGGACCCAAATAATTTTTCAGTATCTTAAATCCTACTGCTGAGGCGTGCAACAAGAAAGCAGGTATACTTATAGGCAGACACAACTGTGTCCAAGAGTTAAAGTTTCTGGCCTCTGGCTTCACGCTGGTCAAACATTGCCCAGATGCTGGAAGGTATGTCTTGTTAGCCCCTAAAAGCATAACAGAGCCCACTTGTTTCGCCTGCGAGGGAGTGTGCGCGACGGTTATTTGTCCAAGCTAATTTCCTTTTTCACCACCACCCATTCCTAATTCAGCTTTCCCTCCCAGAATTAGTTCTACTGAGCACAGTGGCAAAGCAGAACCTCTTCCCTCTGGCCTTCTGTTTATCATCTTCTGTCAAGCGCATGCTGTTTCCAGGCAACGGAAAGGAAGTGCCAGCTAGGGCCACGTGGTTGTGGCCAGTCATTTCGTGTTAGCATCCTGGGGCAAAGTCTCATTTATTTCTAATCTAATGTTTCTAGGGGAACGACACAGTCAGCGTGTCCCGTACTCTGTGCCAGTTTAGACAAAACTGCCTCTCTTGGTTTCTACTTTCCTTGGAACTAGTTCTCATAAGGATTGTGTTTACAGTTTCTGGCTGAATATTTATTAAGTTTCGTAATTTTTTATTTATTTTCTTTAAAAAAAAATATACACAGCTTAGTCCGAGATAAACTTTGTTCTTTTCATTTCGTTCTACTGATAAAACGTGCCACTCCAAAACTGCATAACACATTTGGAATATAGTTTGATACAGATTTAGCCCAACATGTTTCAAGTAGCGTTTTGTTTGGATATGGTGTTTTAAATGGTGGTGGTGGTGGGGGAGAGGATAGATTCTCGCCCCCCACCCCACCCACTTCCTCCAGTCTGGCATTTCTCAAGCCACATTTATGGACTCATTCTCACAATCCTGCTACTCTGTGTATCCCCCCCTGCCCCCGCCCAATGAATGAACAGAGCTTCAGTCCTGCAGCGCTGGAGTGCTTTTAATAATGCTATTTTCGAGGATGTAAGAAAATGAAAAGAATGGAAATGGAAGAATAGTTGTTAAGCACATTAGGACGTAATCAGTTAGCATTAAAATTAATTCTGGATGATTCATGTATCTGTAAGAGGACAGGGGAGATACAGTGGTACCACAGGTTAAGTACTTAATTCGTTCTGGAGGCCTGTACTTAACCTGAAACTGTTCTTAACCTGAAGCACCACTTTAGCTAATGGGGCCTCCTGCTGCTGCTGCGCCGCCGCTGCACGATTTCTGGTCTCATCCTGAAGCAAAGTTCTTAACCCAAGGTAAAATTTCTGGGTTAGCGGAGTCTGTAACCTGAAGCATATGTAACCTGAAGCATATGTAACCCAAGGTACCACTGTATAAGGTCACATTTACACCAGTGATTTTTCAGAGGTAAAATGGAGAATTCAGGAGCCTTGACCTGCTTCTTCATTAGGATGTTATCAATAAGCATCTGTATCTGAGTTTAACAACTAAGTATTTTTTTAAAGAAACTGTCTGCTTTTTAATTTGCTCTTATATTTCCTTCCCTCATGAGCAGTGTTAGAAACTCAGACATATAAGCTAGGTGCCAAATGGCTTCTTAAACCAGGGTTACAGTTGCCAAAACAGAATGCCTTGTTGCCATTTGTGGGGCCAGGCAGATCGAAAGTTGTATTTTCCGATATGACTTTTTGGTTCCTGAAATTCATTCTGATTGTGCAGATAAAATATAACGGATAGAATTCTACAGCATGTGTTGCTCGTGTATGAAAACAGGCCAGATTCAAGGATCCTCAGGCATGCCCCTCCAGATGGTGGAGACATCAGGTGCCATCCTGCTGCCCAGGCATCTTCACTTGGTCACAAGTGGCTGATAGCCAGGTGCAAAATGCGCCTGGTGCCTGGCCAATTTCAAACACTGCTCATGAATCCAATTCGGTCAAGGAATCACTCCCTCTTGTGAAAATTCTGCCTTTTGTGAGTTAGACGAGGATTGCTCAGAATGAGACTTCTACTGCTTACAAGCTTGTCTGCCATTATCATACATGATAAGTATTTTGGCATAACGGATGCTCCTATATAATATGTGCTGCTCTGTTTCTCCTATTTAATTAGTCCCAGCTCACTGTGAAATCTAGTTAAAATGTGCTCTATGGATACACTTGCATCTCCCCATTTTCATAAGGGCGTTTCAGTCTCCCTCTACACACTGGCCATGATTTGAATGCTACTTGTGCTTTAGATCCTGGTTTATATTCCTAGTTCCTTAAACCATATTCAGCTTGAGTTTCCCAGTTCAGACCTAACTTAATTCAAGCCAGCATCTCAGCACTCAAACCAGCATGCAATGCCAAGGAGAAGGCCAAGGGTAGAGCTTGTAGCTGTGGTGCTAATCTATGGTAATACCTGGTCCCAAAAGCTATGAACCCAACCACTATAGGGACATTACCCATCTGTTTGAATTCAGATTCCTGTAAATTGAAGGTGGTGATTTAAAGGGCGAAAGAAAGTGATGGGAGATTTTCTCTTTCCATATCCCCTCACTTTGAAGTTGCATCGTCCCTTCCAGAATTGGAGCCAGACCAGGGCTGGTAGCTCCAAGGAGGAAAATCACAACTGGGCAAAGGGTTATGCAAGCTCCCCCTGCCTGCTCTTTAAAGTACACAGTTTATAGGAATTAAGAAGCATCTTGCTTCTAACACACCAATTTTGCCACTTTCACGTCTAGTTCACTGCATAGTCTAGGTCGCAGGTGGGCTCCCTGCAACCCTAGGGCTACGTGGGACCTTTTGCCTAATTTTATCTGGTCTTCAGCCTAATTTCAAAAGCCCTCTGCAAGTGATTAGGCCTTTTGGTAAGGAAGAAGTAGAAGAAGACAGATGGCTAGCTAGATACATAGAAACATGCAGAGATACATAGATTGATACATTGATACATAGATATATGGATACATAAATCAACACAGATGGATACATAGATACAGATACATAGATGGATACATGGTAACATAGACACGTAGGTGCATTGATGGATACAATTTTGGAATACAGTGGTACCTCGGTTTACGAACTTAATCCGTTCCTGAAGTCCATTCTTAAACCAAATCCATTCTTAAACCGAGGTGTGCTTTCCCTAATGAGGCTTCCTGCCGCCGGTGCCCTTCCACCGTTTAGCTTCCGTTCATAGACCGAGGTAAAGTTTGCAAACTGGGACACTAATTCCGGTTTTACGGCGTTTGTAAACCGAATAGTTCGTAAAGAGGGCTGTTCGTAAACCGAGGTACCACTGTCTAATGTAGCAGGAGGAGGGAGGAAAACAGGGATGAAAGAAAGAGAAAGGGCTCTGACCTGCCAGTCACTGGCATTGGCCCTGCTCTTAGCCAGAATGCTTCCTCTGACAGATTTTCTCCAACAGATCCCCCTGGATAGAAAATACAGCTGTCCATCCCCGATTTCCACGACCATATGTTTGGTGGCTGTTCAATATCAAGCTGAGGTCAGAGTTAGCCCTCCAGAGTCTTGCTATTGAAGTGGATTGTTCTGCTGAAGCAAGATCCATGCATGTCAAAATGAAACACATATATAATTTATTTCATCTGTCAAATGTTAAGTGTCTTTGTCAATGGGAGAAAGAATGTGTAGTTCTGTTGTTGTTTTTTTAATGGCACAATGGTTTCCATAGCAAACTGACCATTGCTTCGTTTTTCTTTTCCTGTAGGATCACATGTCAAAATAAGAAGGTAATCAGTGCACAGAGGATGCTGACAGAAAGGCCAAGATGCAGAAGACCCAACTGTTTGTGCAGAAAGGACCTCACCTGATGGAGGAAACCTCTTTGGAAATGTCAGGAAGGCTTATGCTTATGACTTGTAGTCCACCAGCTGCTAAGATCTGAAACAGATGTCTGGTGAAGAGAGGAGCTCTCATCTCATGATCAGCAGAAGTGGAGTATGGGATCTTCAGCTAGCAGAATGCTACGTCAAGCTACCTCACCAGTATCTATACATAATGAAGCAAGTTAACTTTGGTTTGTTTCCCCTGGTTTTACAGTTTCCAGATGTTCCCTCCTTCTCCGCTGTGCCTGTATAGTCACCTCCACCAGAGACCTGAAAACCACTTGGGGAAAGGGAACAGCCATTTGGTCCAAACAGGAGTATATGCCACACACACACACCCTTTGTTGTTGAAAGATTCAAATATGGCAATGGAAATAGCTGTGAATTTTCCCAATGTCCTCTGCATCTCTTGTGCCTCTTCTTTCATTGCTGATTTAATGATTCAGTGGAAGTTCAGGATGCCCAGATGATCAACGGGAAGATTGGAACAAGAAGATTGTTTTGTTGTTGTTGTCCTGATGTATCAATAAAATCATAATTTTTTTTTAAAAAAAGAAAATTGGACTATATATACCCAGTGTTGGGGGCCCACAGAATTTAAATCTGTTCCCGGGGAATTAATGGTCAGTTTTACAAATTTTACTGTGAGTTGTCACATGGAAACCCAGGAAATACAAACTGTCATTCTTCTGTCAAAAGGAAATTATAATGTCACATATACTTATACCGAAGAGTCCATCTGACATACAAAAGACAGCCTCAAATGAGCATGGATAAGCATGGGAAGTTTTATTGTTTCATGTTTTAATTATGTTGTTGGGAGCTGCCCAGAGTGGCTGGGGCATACTAGTTGGATGGGCCTCATATAAAAATTATTATTATTATTATTATTATTATTATTATTATTATTATTTTACTGGAATAAGGTGAGAATGCATTAGAACTGTACCTTTTCTAAGTGAGGTTATAAGAGAGATGAAAGTAAATTTCAGCTTGTAAAGTAGCTGAAAGCAGCCTTCTGCAACCCCCATCACCCTCAGGCATTATGGACAGCTGTCAGGCATGAGGGCAGAGGCATTTTTAGGGTAGTTGCACTGGACACCGGCACCACAGGGGGCACTTCAACAGTGATGTTGAACGGAACACAAAAAGGCTCCATTTGGGAGACCAAAATCTGCCACTGATGAAGGGAGTCTATTTGGGTTTTTTATTCAAAGTGTTGATCCTGACCTTTAAAGCCCTACATGGTTTCGGTCCAGTATACCTGAAGGAGTGTCTCCACCTCCATCGTTCTGCCCAGACACTGAGGTCCAGCTCCGAGGGCCTTCTGGTGGTTCCCTCACTACGAGAAGTGAAGTTACAGGTAACCAGGCAGAGGACCTTCTCGGTAGTGGCGCCCGCCCTGTGGAATGCCCTCCCATCAGATGTCAAAGAAATAAACAACTGTCGGACTTTTAGAAGACATCTGAAGGCAGCCCTGTTTAGGGAAGCTTTTAATGTTTGATGCATTACTGTATTTTAATATTCTGCTGGAAGCCGCCCAGAGTAGCTAGGGAAACCCCGCCAGATGGGTGGGGTATAAATAATAAATTATTATTATTATTATTATTATTATTATTATTATTATTAATTTAACAAAATGCATATTGTAGGAAAAACTCTGAGTGGTTTAAATAAAAGATTTAAATTATCAATGTAAAAGCAGGTATTTTAAAATCAACAATAACTAAACAAAGAACTAAAAATCCAACCAGCTCAGTTGGTGAGAGCCTGATTGCATCAAGGTTGCAAGAATTTAAAACAACTGGTCAGCAACAACAAAAATACTACAAAGTAAATAAGAGAAAGAGGGGGAGTGATTTCAAAATAAAAATACCATAAAATGCAAAATACAGACTCGTACCAATGTTAGTCATACCCATAATGACTAGGTCCATTAATATCAGAGGGTCTGCTCTGAATAGTCATTGGATACAGCCCACAGACACATCTGTGTCAGGGCAGAGCCCAAAATATCTGTTTAAATTGGTAACTGAGTTATAAAAGGGCGTGAATGCAAAATAATCTCCTGGCTTTATTCAGGTTTTCTGACAGATCTCTTGGCTGCTCTCCTGGGTACATGGAAGAGTTTGTGGTGGAATTATATGTTTCCCCATCAAGTGAGTTGACCTGAGCAGTTCATGATTAGCAAAAGTTCTGTTGTGACTTGCTGGGGATTCTGTTAAGGGATCGTATAGCTGTTTAGAAAGAGAAATGATTATGGGAAGCAAAAGTATGTGTTTTATCGTGCATTTGACAGTGGCATATTCAAGGGCAAGGTGGGCAACAAGCTATTAGAAATACTGTGCTATCTATGATGCCCTTCTGTGGAAAAGGATCTGAAGTTCCTGGTTGGTGAGCACACACTTTCAAATGCAGAAGGTCCAGTGATGAAAATGTTCCCTTGCAAATGTGTGTTTTCTGTACCACCGAACAGCAAAATACACCAAATCCACACATCTCAAAAGAATGTGGGGTGGTTAATATGCTTAAAATTGAGTCACTTGTTTACTCATGATACATTCCTTTTAAAAAGCCAAAACCAGGGCTCCATGTAGATGGTTGCTTTTCAAAAACTTGTAGAGCCCTCTCAGTCTGCAGTCCACATCCCTACTTTTCACAGGTCCAGCCGTGATATCTGGTTGTCATGAACTGGCAGGATGACAGGCAAGGCAGAAGAGGATCCTGACGAGGGGTGTAGCTGGGACTGGGACACACCGGGGCAAGCGAGGGATGGGGAAGGAAGTACTCACAGGATGGCGGAGGGTGGTGAGGGGATGGGTGTCAGTGCACAGGAACCAGAGCAGCAGGACCAATCACTAGAGCCACAAGTATGGGAGGCTCTGAGGCGTAAGGAGCTGTGGGAGTGATGCTCTAGGAGGCTGAAACAGGCAAGGGCCCACATGTGGGGCTCGCTAGCTTTGGGAAGAGGTATGTGATTCCTCTCCTGCCAGCCTAGCAGTTCGAAAGCACGTCAAAGTGCAAGTAGATAAATAGGTTCCGCTCTGGCGGGAAGGTAAACGGCGTTTCCGTGCGCTGCTCTGGTTCGCCAGAAGTGGCTTAGTCATGCTGGCCACATGACCCGGAAGCGGTACGCCGGCTCCCTCGGCCAGTAAAGCGAGATGAGCGCCACAACCCCAGAGTCGGCCACGACTGGACCTAATGGTCAGGGGTCCCTTTACCTTTACCTTTTATGTGATTCCTCAGCTGGAGTTGACTCAGAACAGGTGAGGGTTATCTGCCTCATCAAGCCCAGAGGCTGCAATCAGACCAAGTATAGAAGGGAAGCAGAGCTGAGGGACTGTGTCTGCTCAACTGCCCAGGTTGATGGACCTTGGCATGGATGATCCTGGACATCTACAGGACTGTGCTCTGGGTTTAACTCTGGACTGTATCCTGACTGCTGGACTTCAGACTTGGCTACTTGGATTGACCTTGGACTGCCTGTGGCTTGACCCCTGGACTTTGGATTTGACATACTGACTTGCTGCCAGGTAGGCCAGGGGTTTAGGACGCTGCTCAAAGCAGTTTTAATATACCTCATATAGAGCTTTGAGCCCAACTGTGAAAATGCCAATCCCAGAAGTATGATCAGCACTTCAGCACATACATGCCACGTTTTGCCTAAATTGTAGCTGGTTACTGCTAGATAGGGGACACGGGTGGCGTTGTGGGTTAAACCACAGAGCCTAGGACTTGCCGATAAGAAGGTCAGTGGTTCGAATCCCCGCAACGGGGTGAGCTCCCGTTGCTCGGTCCCTTCTCCTGCCAACCTAGCAGTTCGATAGCACGTCCAAGTGCAAGTAGATAAATAGATACCGCTTCGGCGGGAAGGTAAACGGCGTTTCCGTGTGCTGCTCTGGTTCACCAGAAGCGGCTTAGTCATGCTGGTCACATGACCTGGAAGTTGTACGCTGGCTCCCTCAGCCAATAAAATGAGATGAGCGCCGCAACCCCAGAGTCAGCCACAACTGGACCTAATGGTCAGGGGTCCCTTTACCTTTACCTTTTTACTGCTAGATAGTACCCATGGTGATCAATTTGTTTCAGTATTCAATTTTTGGTTTTGACTATTGCTTACCAAGGTTTAACATGGAAATTAAATGTCAGATTAGTGACAGATTCCCAGCAATATTTGTTAGAATTGTTGTTGCATTCCTTGAAAGAGACTCATGAAAGTCAAGTCTGCTCTTCCCTTTAGGCTGTGAATTTTCCTTAGACTTTCCTCTATCCTGACACATCATCTTAGCCGGACAAAGTCTTTCCTGACCTTTTAATGTATTTTCCTGCTGTGATAGTCCTCTTATGGGCTGTAATCCCCATGTGAATTCCACCATGACCCACTCTAGGCAGGGCTAGCAAAAAGTGGAGTAAAAACACTATATTGGAAGTAAACACAGAACAACCTCCACTCACTGTATGCACTACATCTGACTGAAGGTACATGATGCAACCAAGGAGTTCTGACTCCAAACAGTACTTGGGGATAGAAACCGCCTGTGTGTGATGCCTTGAGTTCCAACATGGAAGAAAGGCGATTAGAAATGTAATGGTTCTGACCAGATGGAGATAAAGATTTGTGGTTGCCATTCTGATCTGCTATTGATGATTGGTACATACAGCAGTGTTACCAGTTCTGCATTACATTATCATGATGTTTTAAGTGATTTTTTCTTTTATGAAGTATTGTGCAATTCATTCTGAGAGTTCCTGCCAGGTCGGTATCCGACATCATGTGACATCATTGAACGATGGTTCTTTCAATCGAAAGAGTGTCGATTTCAGAGTTCTTTGAGCCATGCAATATTCTTTTTGATGGACACTTGATCCTTGGTGCACAAAACTCAAGTTTCTGGTACTGCCTTCCATATTTGCATACCTGCGGTTACATTCAAACTAACACGACCTCGAGCGGTGCTGATAACCAGCGCTACGTGCATCTTTGCTTTGAGACGAGAGATCGCCAATTGTTACGGCGACTCTGGGAGTCTGAGATCCTTTTTCAAAGCCCTTCCTTGCTGTGAGCATGCTGGCATGCATACACAAGCTGTACCTGTGTAGACTTGCCCAATATAGCTGGTGTTTTTATGCAGCATCATACCCAACTGAAACGGAGGAAGATTCCTTCAGGGACAGCACAGTATGGTTTGATTTCTTTCCTCCCCTCTTCAATGTCAAGGCCCGCCAACACCCATCGTTCATTGAAGAAGACTGCATCCCTTCCTGTACAGCATGGTAATGAACAATTTCTACAAAGGGAAAGGCTGTTTCGCAGAGCATAACAATCTCAGCTATTGCAGGCTGCCTGCTCCTCCAGGTTCATCTGCTTGGCAGGACTGCAGGGACTGTAATGGCAGCAGTGCAAATATATATATATATAATCAGAGGCATCAGCTGCAAGGCAAACACATGCAAGGCAGAAGTTTCTGGTTTTTTAATAATGATTTTTATTAAACCTTCCAAATTATTACACAACTCCAATCATATATATCTTTTTGTTGTTGTTATATCCTGGCTTCCTGTCCCTCCTTCCCTGATGTTTATTTTTATTCCCCCTTAATTAGCTGCATTAAAGCACATTTTCTACCCCCATCCATTCTCTATGTTCTTCCGTTGCTCAAATCCAGCATATGTTTTCATATAAGAATGATAATTTGATAGGTAGTCCACCAATGGTCTCCATTCTTCTATTCAAAGATCAGTTTGCCCTCTTATTTTAACACTCAGTTTTGCCATTTCTGCATAGTCCGTTGGTTTTATAAGCCGTTCTTCCTTAGTCGGAAGTCTCTTTGTCTTCCCATTCCTGAGCATCTAAAGTTCTAGTTGCAGTTGTTGCATACAGAAAAAGGCTATTCAGCTTTTTGGGAACCTCCATCCCTATTATTCCCCCCCCCTCGGCTTTGGGTTTTGGGGAATGGTCAGTTTAAACATCTTTTTCAATTCATTGTATATCATTTCCCATAAACCCTTGGCCTTGCCACAGGTCCCCCACATATGCACTGTTCTGACTCTGGGCCCCACCTCCTTTTCCCAGTGCATAGCAAACAGCTTGGCATCCAAGTACAGTGGTACCTCGGGTTACAGACGCTTCAGGTTACATACGCTTCAGGTTACAGACTCTGCTAACCCAGAAATAGTACCTCGGGTTAAAAACTTTGCTTCAGGATGAGAACAGAAATAGTGCTCTGGCGGTGCGGCGGCAGCAGGAGGCCCCATTAGCTAAAGTGGTGCTTCAGGTTAAGAACAGTTTCAGGTTAAGAACGGACCTCCGGAACGAATTAAGTACTTAACCCGAGGTACCACTGTACTGCAACAAAAATCAGTTGGAGGTGGCAGACAGGTTAGCATCAACAAAAGCAACAGGCAGCAGGCAACAGCATTGCCACCACACCAATGGCAGCTGGAGGCCAAAGCATGTCCTCTGCCATTCTGAGAGTTGGCAGGAGCCCTGACATCCACTTTTAGCTTATGTGGAGATGGACAGAACCGGCAAACCCAAGCCATCAAGGATGGATGAGGAAAGAAGAAGACGTGGGAGCTGCATAGCCATTTATCTGTGTCACTTGGAGGAAAAGCAGCTGAATATTCTTGTTAATGAGCAAACAAACCTTGGAAGTGCAGATAAACCCAGTGGGATTTATAAGTTTGCTTTTGTGGAAGGCAAATATTAACCTGCAGTTAGAGTCTGTCCCCATAGCTACCTTCTTGTCTGCTTAAGGACTTGGGCTGTCTGGTGGCCCTTGCCTCCAGCAAGGGCATGTCTGTGTGGAACTTTTTCAAGGACTGACTCTCCTGACAGCTGAGAGGATAGCCAAACTGCAGATGCTTCCTGTGCTCTGAACTGATCCCTCAATGTGGCATCCCTGTGGGATGTTAAGCAGGTGATTCCGATCCAGAAGACAGGGATGGGGAACCTCAGGCCTAGGAAACAGATGTGCCCCCCTCCAGGCCTCTCAATCAGCCCCTTGAAGAAGAAGAAGAGGAGTTTGGATTTGATATCCCGCTTTATCACTACCCGAAGGAGTCTCAAAGCGGCTAACATTCTCCTTTCCCTTCCTCCCCCACAACAAACACTCTGTGAGGTGAGTGGGGCTGAGAGACTTCATAGAAGTGTGACTGGCCCAAGGTCACACAGCAGCTGCATGTGGAGGAGCGGAGACGCGAACCCGGTTCCCCAGATTACGAGACTACCACTCTTAACCACTACACCACACTGGCTCTCACCTTGGGACCCTCCCAAGCTACATCTCTCGCTGCCCTTCCTTTGCACACTCCGAAGGATTCCAAATGACTTTCTCTGGTTCAAATGTTTTCTTGAACTTTGATACATGCTTTGGATGGCATGTGGCCTCCAGAATAAGGTTACCAGACGTCCCCGTTTCCCGGGGACAGTCCCCGGATTTACAAATCAGTCCCCATAGAAAATCCATTGAAGCTGAAAAGTGTCCCCGGATTCATTTGTGTGTGTGTGTGGGGGGGGGAAATCTGGTAACTCTACTCCAGAAGGTTTTCCAGAAGGAAATGTGGCCCTGGGGCAGCAAAGGGTTCTCCATCCCTGCAATAAGGCAATGAAGTCTCACCTAGCTCTGCCCAGCCAGCTATGGGGAATTCATCATAGAGCTTGCCTGTTACTTCTATGGTTTCCTAGTATTCTGCCTCTGAACATATAGCTATCATAGCTAACAACCACTGATACACCCCTGTCATTTAGCCTCCCAGTGGACCCTCTGCAACCATTCCTGATGGGAGTCCATATTTCTCACATACTTGTCTCAGGCCGGCAAGAAGTAGGGCTGGACTCGTATATCATCTGCGGCTGGGAAATGGAAATGATGGGAAGCTGTGTTGTTGCTCTCGCCTGTCTCATTGTAAAACGCCTTCCTTGGCTGCATCTCCTCCTAGCTTTGGGGTTGGGCTTTCTACTAAGAGCAAACTGCCTAGGGCCCTATGAGGTACTGGGAAGAATTGGTGGCATGGATGCCCTGCCCTCCAGGGGTTCTCCACCTAAACTCTGCTTTATGAAGGATATGACACATTGGGGAGGCCTCAGAGGGATGGCACAGCTAAGAGGGTGGCATGCATTTTAAGATATAACCTCGAGGGACCCGAGCACCCACTTCCCTGTGAAACAGTTTGTGCCCATATCTCTATTTAATTATGTGGAACAACAGTAGCAGGTTTTATTGTTCTGCAGAAAGCAGAGCGTGGTGTAATGCTTAAAAAGTGTTGGGCTAGGACTGGGGGAGACCTGGGTTCAAATCCCCACTGAGGAAATAGACTCCAGATTGGAAATGGGGATTTTCTATGCTCTTAATCACAGATTCCCACTTTTAATCTCGTTTAGACTTTCTAGAAAACATATCAACTCGTATTTGAAAATGTAAGCCTCTAAATCAGAAGGAGAAGAAGAAGAAGAATAGTTTGGATTTGGTATCCCACTTTATCACTGCCTGAAGGAGTCTCAAAGCGGCTAACATTCTCCTTTCCCTTCCTCTCCCACAACAAACACTCTGTGAGATGAGGCTGACAGACTTCAGAGAAGTGTGACTAGCCCAAGGTCACCCAGCAGCTGCATGTGGAGGAGCGGGGAAGCGAACCCGGTTCACCAGATTACGAGTCTACCACTCTTAACCACTACACCATACTGACTGTATTAAATGATGCCATCTTGGATGGCTTGAGTGCTGCCCTAGTGAAAGGAAATCAGAGCACGTTGACACTCTGCATGGTCTTAACTTCTTTTATAAAAAAAGGAATAATGGAGTGTTGAGGATGTGTTGAGGTAGCATAGAGGGAAAGAGGCTGAAATTGGGTAGGGGGTTAAAACCATATCCTGTTATCAACCTTAGACATACCAAATAGCATTGCAAGGGGTTTGACTACATGACCCTTGGGGTCCTTTTCATCTCTACAGTTCCATGATTCTATGTACTGCTCTGCTCCTCAGTCCCTATTCTTTTCTTCTCATTCCTGCCGCCCTTAGACTTCTCCCAATTCCACTACTCTTTAAAGTGGAGCAAAACCTGTTTCCCAACCTTTTCTAACCAGGTCTTTCCCTTGACATAGGTTGAAGCTTTTTATGTGAATTGGGTCAGGTTAAAGGAGTCTCTAGTATAGGCTGGATAATAATAATAATAAGAAGAAGGAGGAGGAGGAGGAGGAGGAGGAGGAGGAGGAGGAGGAGGTTGCAGGGCTCAGCTCCCCCCTTGCTCCCCTTTGCTGTGTAGTGTGTGTGTGTGTGTGTGTAAGAGAACTGCTCTTATTTCTCTGATCCCTGAAATCGGCTCATTGTGGAAATACCTTGACCCAAATATGCAGAATTAAACTACTGGTTTCAGCATTACATACCACAACAGAGAAGCAAAGAGTATTGCTATTTGTGCCATGTTTCTAGCCCATGATGAGAGCTCTCCAAAAGCCAAAGTGAAGGAAGAGTTCACTTTGAGTTCACAAGAGGAAGGGTAACTCAAGTTTTCTGCCCAACCTCATTTAAGACAATGCCAGGTACGGTTACAAGACTATTAGTAACAGTAAATAGTTTCCAGGTAGCCTAGTTGCCTAGTCCATCACCGACGCCAAATGCTGTGAACAGATTTCTTTTCCTCTGTGCCTCATGCTCAGAAATTGTACACATTGCAGGTCCCAACATCTCTTATTTTAATACATCACAAATGTCATTTTTCTGTGGTTGGATTGCATGCCAGCCCCAGTAAACACTGAAGGGTAGTTTTGTACAGGAGCACATGACTGCTACTTGCTTGTGCCAGTGGTGTATGTGTGTGCATGCTGTATTGATGGCCATCTCCCCTCTACGCAATGGTCTCACTCAGGTGAGGTGTATTGTCTTATCTGACCCAAACACAGGCATCCCTATGCTCAAGAGGCTTGTTCTACACTCCTGTAGTTGCACCAGACTAAGGATGGTGATGTGCAAATTGATGTGCCTTCAAATGTGAAGCTAACTGAAAACAAACATATTTTTGGGGAAAGATGTGTGTCCTCATCCAGACATAGGTCCAATTTCTGCCCATGGTTCTCAACTCAAAAAAACTATTAAGCAGGTATCCTTATCTAGATCAGGGCAAATGTTTCTGAAACTCAAGGGTGTTTCCAAAGTAGTTCGTGATATGTCAAGGAACATTGCGATTCTGGTGGTAGTGGGGATATTCTGTGGGATCTAACAATTCCACTCTCCTAAAGTTTTCCTCTGGACTGTGGCCACAGAAAAGACAGAACTAGTTTATAAACTCCAAATGCCAAAAAACTGACAGTCTTGGAACTAGTAAATGACAAGGAAAGGACAAAAGTCAGATGAATGAATTTGCAATGCTGGCTGTTCACACAAAGCATATTTCCCCCACTGGTTACGTTGCAGTGTTTCACCCCCGAGCTTTCTTCCTCCAGCTATTTTCTGTTCTTTCCAGCATCATCTGGCGTGTATGTTTACCAGGGACTTGTAGATGCTCTTCTACTTATTTCCCCTCTGGGGCTCATAAAGTCCATCTGCTGGAGGA